AGTGTCCTCTCCCCAACTGTCAGCACAGGCAGAAGGAATCCTGCTGCAGATTTCTCCAGAGCTTCACCACAGCCTGTACTGTCAGGGGAAGAATGGCTTCCAGTGAGTCTCTGCAGGTATTGTGCAAGGTCTTCCTGGTTTACAGCTTTCAAGCGGCTCTTGTGACCCCAGTCCACTGGACCTCTGGCTCCGTGGGTTTAGTCTGCATTCTCATGTTCTCCGAGTCCTTGTTCAGCAGCTGCTCCTCCGGTGGCTCTGGACCTTTCTGGTTCCCAATGGCAGGAGCAAGAATGGCCCGTTGTATGGCATATATTCCCAGGGGTTGTTCAAAGTTTCAATGATTCACACACTTCCGTGGGTGGGCAACTGCAGTCTGTGCATGGTGGGCCAATTGTGTCACTGTTTCTCTGTGTCATGATAGATCCCAATTGAGCGGCGGCTTGCCTAAGGGCCGGCGCGCAATAGTGTTCGCCGCCTCATGGCTCCCCATGCGCTGGGGGCCCACCCTCCGGGAGCCAGCAGGCAGGAAGTTAGCCAGCCAGAAGGCTGGCGCTCCACACCCGCAGCTCCCTGTGCGCCGGAAGCCCTCCTCCTGATTTATTTTTGATCTTAAATTTGTGTTTCTACTGTACTGAAAATTTGAATTTTTATGTAGTTAAGTATACCTTTTTATTTGTTGGATATTTTGTTATGATGTCTTGCTTACAAAGATTTTCTTTACCTCAGGGTAACAAACATGATTTATCTCTATCTCCTAATATTTTTTAGAGTTTTATATTTTATTTAAAATCTTTATTGGACTAATTTATTTTTGAGTTGAAGGATGAGGCCCATTTTATATTTCTTTGGAACCACTAATATGTTCCTTTTTACTAGTGTCTTTGTCAGCCTGAATCCTAGATACCTGCTAAGTTTCTTCTAGTAGTTTTATAGTAATGGGATGATATTTAAAATTCTTCAATCTTTTAACAGTGTTGCTGATTTTACTTCTTTTTTTTTTTTTTGTAAAGGAACTTTGCACTTTAATGTTTTCCCTGGATTGGATTAAAGCAAAAACAGAACTTGTAGGCCCTGCTCATTTGATTCATGAATTTGTGGAATACAGGCATATATTGGATGAAAAGGTATATATGAGTATGAAAAGTTAATGCTTAAAGATGTCTGATTGTGACCTTTAATTTTAGTTTAATGGTGAGGATGAGCAGAATGGAAGGGTTGAGTAGAAATAATTTCTTTGCTTTCACTTTTGATTATTCTAATTAATTTGCTTCCTATCCTACTGGGACTGTAGGTAGGGTTGAAGTTTGAAAGTTGGGAAGGTAAGGTTTTTGGTGGTTTTAAGAAAAAGCATTAAAAAGTATGTTTGATAATGAGATTTTTACTCTGTGTTTAAAAGTCAGAAGAAAGTCACTATGTGTTTGTTACCTAACAGCTGGCTATTATATTTTAGTTCACATAGAGAATAAGTCATTTAAGTCTTTAAAGTGACAAGATCACAGAAACAGAAAAATGTCAGATCGTGGGCCTGGTTATGTTTCTAAGAGCTTTCAGTTTATTCATAGGATTGCGCAGTCTGTGAGAATTTTCAGGAGTTTTTATCTTTAAATGGACACCTTCTTGGACGACAGCCATTTCCTAATATTGTACAACTGGGGCTCTGTGAACCGGAAACTTCAGAAGTTTATCAGCAAGCAAAGCTGCAGGCCAAGCAGGAGGTCGATAACGGGATGCTTTACCTGGAGTGGATGTAAGTAGGTTAGAAGGGAACCAAAGAGAGTGGAGTGCTAGCTGTGTCATTATTTTTCAGGTAGTGAATCAGTTCACTCCAGGAAGATTTAACTACTTTGAGAAAGGACATAACTTTTAATAAGCATTTTTACTTAGTGAAATGTTCCAGAGAAATAAGCACAGGAGAAAATGATTGTATCTTTCAAGTCCATAGAAATAGGTGCCTTATTAGAAGGCATTTTGACAAGTCCTCTTAAATATTAGTACCACGTGCTTGAGTTTGTTTTTTTTTTTTTTTTCCCCCTCTGGTACCGGGAATTGAACTCACAACCTTGCGCTTGCCAGGCAGGCGCTGCGCCGCTGAGCTAAATCCCCAGCCCCTTGAGTTTGTTTTAGAGTTTATTTTGTTTTGTTTGTTTGTTGGGAACAGGGTGTTGCTCTATAGTCCAGGCTGGCCTGGGACTCAGTGATGGAGCTCAGACTGGGCTTGAACTTCATATCCTGCCTCAGCATTTGTAGTGCTGGGGTTGTAAGTGTGCATCACCATGCTCTGCTTTTGTGAGAATGTAAGTGAGGTGATGGCTGTAAAGCAATTTACACTCTGCCCTGCACATAGCTCTTTTTCTTTCTTTTTTGTTTGTTTTCTGAGACAGGGTCTTATGCTATAGTCCAGGCTAGCCTTGAACTCCCTATGTAGCCCAGGCTGATCTTGAACACACTCCTGCCTCAGCTTCCAAAGTGCTGGAATCACACGTGTGCTTCTGTACCCCTGGTCATTCATACAGCTCTTACTAAATGTCCACTGACTACTGATTCTTTAAAGAAAGTTGTTCCCTTTTACTTTAATCTTACCAGTTAATAAAAAGGAAAGGATAAACTACCACCTTTGTAATACCTTGTATTTATTAATAATCATATGTGCTATTCCATTTAATTTTCACAATGACCTTGTAATATAAATATTAATTGCCTGGGCATAGAGAAATTGACTTGGCTCCTGTGGCATCCGAGTGGAATTTAAACCCCAGGTCTTTTAGCTTTATGTCTGTGCTCCTCATATGCCGTGCTGCTCCCACAGCAATACGAAATATGAGTGGAAATAAAAATATGAGTGGTTTTCTTTTGTTTTTCCCAGTTTTTGGGGGATGGGGTACTGGGGATCGAACTCAGAACCTTGCACTTGCCAAGCAGGTGTTTGTGCCTCTGAGCTATATCCCCAACCCGAGGGTTTTCTTTTTTCATGTATAATTTATGTCTAAATTGAACTCCTGGTTGGTATCCATGATCTATACTGCCTTGGACCTCTTTATAAATAAGTTGGGTTGCCGTAGGTGGTTCCCTTGATTCGGTGGAATTGGGCAAACGTTTAAGTTTCTCTAACTGGCTAAGCACTGTTAGTAGGTGCTGAGGCTTTCTCTGAGGCGTTCCCAATCTCGTTGTGAAGAAAGAAGTTTTTGCAAATAATTACAATATAATGTGATAAGTGCAACAACAGAGGCATGTATAAAATAAGAGAACTGGTAAGTACTTAATTCAGATAAGTGAGGAATTCAGGGAGGTTCCATAAAAGGAGGTGACAAGTGAGAAGATTTTTAACAGTTTTGTTTTAGTTCCAATGTAGTTTAATTTTTTATTGGTTTTATTTTACACATTTCCTCGTTTCAAAAAATTCAATATAAAATGAAAAGTCAGAGACTTTCTATCTTTCTACTACCTTTGTACTTACAAAAGTTAGCCATTCTTTAACATCTTCCTTGAAAGTGGAGGTTTCACTTCCACTAGGGAAAGTGAAGGTTTTACTGTCACTAAGTGAAGCAGCCCTCCTCACTTACTGAAACTAGATTTGTCAGTGTTGTAGAATGTGTGCTCCTTGTTTACTTGAACCATTTGTCACCTTTTATTGTGGTTATTTGTTTTTCTCTTGTAATCGTTATATTCTTTGGTTTAGAATAGTCTGGAAGTTAAAAGAAGAGTGGCTCTACACTGCCTGGGCTTGAATTCCAGCTCTGCCAGGGATTACTTGTATATCATTAGGGGAAAGTTGTTCAGCTTTCTCACCTGGTGCCCTACTCCACAGCACTGTTGCGAAGATTGAAAGACTGGGTGTGTGTATATAGACACACATGGTGCTGAGAACAGTGCCTAATTCATAGAAAGTGCTTAATACCTATCACTGTTGTTAAAAATAGCATCGTTGGCCCACTCAAGGGGGCCCAAAGGAGATTTTCATGTGTGAGGTTCTCATGTTAAAGAGTGCACTTGTGCATTAGTAACAACAGCAGGCAGCACGGAGCAGAGCAGAGTGCAAGAACCACCTGCATCTTTATTGTATAATTCTTATGCAGGCTGTTATCACTTATTTACATTCTTATGTAGTACTGTAACCAGTGCATGCATATTTACCTGTGATGAGTCATGGTAACATAACTGTATCCCACTGTGCGCTTGTGCTGGACAGTGGGGAAACGTACTGAGGTGTCCTTAGATGCTTCTGAGCTTTGAAGCAGTCTCAGTGGTTCCCCACAAGTGTTAAGCATTTGGTCTGGCCCATATGCTTGGTATGCAGTAGAAATTTCTGGAAGATAAATCACCTGTTTTAGTTAGTGGCTAAAATGGAATCTTAGTATTGGTTTGGTGTGGGAGACCAGTTAAGGAGAATTGAGGTCTACTTAGCCTCCTGTGTGAGCACAAAGGCGAAAGGGAGCAGGTTGTGATTCTTTGGTGACGTGCAGGGATGATGGCAAATTGCTGGTTCTAGGGAAGGTTAATACAGCTGAGATCAGGCTGTTTACCAGGGCGTGCACTAATGGATAGCGCGAGGCAGATGAATCTTGTGTTACTTCAATTGCTTGTACCCGTGTTTGAGTGAGTAAAAGCAGGGTGAACCAGACACTCAGGGCTCCTCTGCTCAGTAGAGGCAAGAGACTGCTGGCTGCCCATGCGCTAAACTGACTGTGTGTCTCTTTGTCATTCATCCTTGTTTGCCCCCAGGTCAGAGTGACAAACTAACAGGACTAGGTCCCTACAGGTGACACCTGGATGGGGAAAACCGGAGTGGGCTGGCTCCCCATGGGATGGTGCCTGGGAAAGGGACCTGGGACTGGTGCATAGTCTAGTTTTGGTTCCTTTATAAATTGTTGAGTTTATCATTTCTAGTTTTTGCTGTAGAAATTCTACAGGTTTTGCATCAGCTGCATTTCAGCCTGTGACATTCCTTCCTAGTCAGCCATTCATAGCTGTATTTTTCACTTGTGGATATTAGTAATATAAAAATTTTGTATTTGGGGGAATATACCCATGTTAAAAGGTAGGTTGGGGGCCAGGGATATAACTCAGCGGTACAAGTGCCTGCCTGGCAAGCGTGAGGGTCCTGAGTTCGAGTCCTGGTTCAAAAAAAGAAAAGGTAGTTTGTTACTGCAAGAAAGTAGTTACTTTTACCCTCACTTACTGGATCTCTGTTCATTTTTTCCTTGTATTTAGAAACAAAAAAACCATCAAGAATCTCTCTCGCTTGGTTGTCCGCCCCCATACAGATGCTGTTTACCATGCGTGCTTTTCTGAGGATGGCCAGAGAATAGCTTCTTGTGGAGCTGATAAAACCTTACAGGTAAAATAATTCTATTGAGAAAAATTCAGAGATTTTTACCCAGTCTTGTGTAGATTAGAATATGTTCAATTCCAAGATTGAAGAACATTGCATGTTAGAAATAGAGAAATCTGAATCTTTTGAACACTTTATGACAGCTTTCTCTGGAGATTTTAAAGGTACATGTTTCATATTCTGGACTCACTGGATGATAAAGAGCCTTTCTCCTGCCAGTCGGTTACCCGCTGTCCATTTGCCAGCGGGTGGTAAGGAAATCATTGTTGAAAGAGAGGTCCTCATAGCACGGTGGATAGGCCTGTGATGGAAAAATGGTGGTTAAATAAAATAATTTATCAAAGACTTAGATATATATATCTGACTGTAAATAAGAATTGAACAAGATTATTTCCAAAGATGCTTTAAGTAACTTCTTCTAAGTTCTTCTTTGCTTTCAGAAAACCAATGAGTGCTTTTTTTGCTTTACATTGTTGTGTTATTTTTTCCTTTGCAGTACTGAAGACTGAGCCCAGGGCCTTGTGTGCACAAGGCCAGCACTTTACCAGATCCCTAGCTCTTACAACATTTTTTAAAATTTTGAGACAGGGTCTTATTAAATTGCTAAGTTGCCTAGACTGGGCTTGAAGTTGGGTCTTTCTGCTTCAACCTCCCGTCTCAACCTTCTTTTTTTTAAAAATTATTTTGAGGAGACTCTTACTTGCCAAGTCTGGCCTGAAGCTTCCCATCCTCCTGCTTGAACCTTTCCAGTAGCTGGAATTACAGGCATGTGCTGCATGCCTTACTTCTCTGGGACCTGATTATGAATTTGAGTGATTTCAGCTTTGGACAGAAGCCTCAGAAAGAGAGCACATTGAATGAAATGGTTTTTAGTTGGTTATTAGGAATTTGCCAACATAGTCTCAATAAGCTGAAGCTGTATTCACTGGTATGCACTGCTATTTACTCCTTTAATAAAGGATAGCTCTCTGTGCTATGAATTATCAATTATGGTAGAAGTTCTAATTTTTGGAGTGATTTTGCTAAGGTGCATTTCCATTTACCAAAATAAAAACTATTAATATCTTCTATCTTTTATTTTTTAAGATACTTTGAAGAAAGACTTTTATTTAGTTATAACTCTCAGTTAAGTGGTTTATAGGAAAAAGATTTTATTGTTGCTTATGCAGGTGTTCAAAGCTGAAACAGGAGAGAAACTTCTAGAAATCAATGCTCATGAAGACGAAGTGCTTTGTTGTGCATTCTCCACAGATGATAGATTTATAGCAACCTGCTCGGTGGATAAAAAAGTGAAGGTAGGAAAGTATTTTCCTCTTGAGTGGTATTTTCCCTATCAGAGACCATAGTAAGTAGGATTAAAGGACCCATGCTTGTGCACTTGCAAACTTGATGCATTGTAAATTAACACTGTCTAAAAATGCTTTGTTTTTAAGCACCAGCAAAAATGTTCAGGTTGATCAGCCTGAGGTATTTACCAGGCAGTGGGGAAAAGTAATTACAAATTAAGGAACATGCCTTCTGCTAGCAGATGGGTCGGTGGGTTAAATATCAGTTGACCTCTCTGTGTGCATTATGATTGCAAGCAGTGCTTGCACAGAGTTACTGTCTGTGAGCAGACACCGGCTGTAAAATACATCATTTGTGAAATGTAACCCAAGTTTTTTAACCTTTGTGAACTGGTTTATGTATTCAGTGCAAAAGCAGATGGATAAGCAAACTAATAGGTTACTAGCCTAAAAAGTAAACAGGGAAAAATGAAGAAGGTAATTTTTATCTTTGTTACTTATTTTTTCTTTTTTCTTTTTTTCTTTTTTTTTTTTTTTTTTGGTTTTTCTCTGGTACCAGGAACCGAACTCACGACCTTGCGCTTGCCAGGCAGGTGCTTTGCCGCTGAGCTAAATCCCCAGCCCACTTATTTTTTCTTGATCTTAAATTTAGCTTTTAGCTGGAGTGTTTATGGAATTAAAGGAAAGCTACTGTGGAATTTTTTTTATTTTAAAAAATAAAAACGAAAACATATTAACAAACACATAACATTTACAAAATAACCCAAGAACAATACAAGCAATACTGAAATTTTGACAAGGTGATAGGAAATTAACAATGGTTGTTGTATTACATATTGATTTCTTCAAAGTGGTTGCTTAGGAAAACAAGTAATAGGCACGTAAGATTGATCACATAATTATTCAGTAACTGTTCCTTTCAATAAAGCAATAGAAGGCAGTAGTACAACTGTGTTAGCTATCCTGTATTACATATAAACATAATTTTCCCCTTCTTTCTTTCCTCTTTTCCCTCATCCCAGTTCCTCTTTACTTTTGAGCATTTTCCTTTCGTTTCACAATGTCTATCATATCTCCTATTTTTATTCACTCTTTCAGGTTCTTACACTAGTGAGACAATATGTTGTTTACACATGTGGGTCTGATTTATTTCACTTATGAGTATGGTCTCCAGTTTTGACTGTTTACCTATAAAAGCCTTGAGTTTATCTTTCTTTATAGCTGAGTAATACTCTGTTACATAAAAATACCACAACTTTTTTATCCGTTTCTCAGTGGATGGACATTTGGGTTGCTTCCACAATTTCGCTATTACAAATTGTGCTGCTGTGAACATGGGTGCACATATGTTGCTGTGATATGTTTTCAGTTCTTCTGGGAAAATACCCAGAAGGGGATTAGCTGAGTTGAATGGGACCTCTAGACCTAGTTTGCTGAGGAATCTCCGAACTGATTTCCACAGTGGTTTCACCAGTCTGCATTCCCACCAGCAGTGGAGAAGGGTTCCTATTTCTCCACAGCCTTGCCAGCATTTGTTATTGGTTGGTTTCTTAATGATAGTCATTCTTACTGGGGTGAGATGAAATCTCAGTGTTGTTTTAATTTACGTATCTTGAATGACTAATGATGTTGAATATTTTCTTGTGTATTTATTTGTCATTTGTATTTCTTTATCTGAGAAATATGTATTCATCTCAGATGCCCATTTTAGGATTGGGTCTTTGAATTTGGGAGGGCTGATGTTTTTAAATTCTGTATATGTTCTAGATAGAAGTCCTTTTTCTGAGGGACAGTCAGCTAAAATTTTTTCTCAGTTTGTGGGTTTTCTATGTACTCTGCTGGTGATTTCTTTAGATGTACAAAAGCTTTTCAGTAAGATGAGATCCCAGTTAATGTAGAATTTAAGAAAAACTGAGGACTTAAGGTCTGTTTTATCACTGATAATTAAGACAAGACCTCACGTCAGGCTTTTTTCAGAGGAGTTGTGGAATACTGAGTCTGGCCAAGCGGAATGGGCAAGAAAGTTGGCTTAGGAGATTTCCTGGAGTTGCCACACTGGAAGAGGAACAGGGAAGTCCACATAAAGCCGAGACGTGGCCAGAACTTACTTTTTGAGAGTAACTTGGGGGCTTTATAGCCAACAGGTAATTTACTCCATAGCTTCTACTGAGTCTGACTTGGAGTTGGCTACACTGGGCAGTTCTAAAGTCAAGAGCACATGGAGAAAAAGGAAGTAAGGCTGAGTGTTGATTTTCTCAGAACTCAAAGTATAAAATAAGAGACAGAAATATTCATTACAGAGCTTCAAAATGAGAGAAACTCTTTGGATCTCTAGGGATTCTAATAAGTGCTCAGGAAAGATACGGGGGATCCCCAGGCAGGGAACATGAGCACCTCTGAGGAGTGGAAGTCCTGCTGAAGATTCTTTAGGTAATCTGTTTCTTTTGTTTGTTGTCATATAGAACAGAGACAGCTTAGTTGTCTTACTTAGTAACTGAATGGTTACTTTTTACTGTAACTGACTTTACACTGCATACTTCCTTATATTTATTTTCACTGAGCAATCTGTCTTCATTATTGTTACCATCACTGTTATCACTGTTGTTAGCGGTGTGTGGATAAAGCCCAGGGCCTCCTGTGTGCTCGACAAGTGCTGCCACACTCCCGGGCCTTTGTATTTACTTACATGGAGTCTCCACTAACAACGCTGTTATCTCTTTGATGTGTGGAGTTGGGTAGGACGGGTATAAGGTCCATTTTGCAGCAGAGGGAAGTGGGATGCAGGTACGGCCAGGAATTGATGGGGACACACAAATCGTAAGTGGTAGAGCCAGGTTTTAGACATAGTCTCTCATGTTGTCTCCTTTTCAGCACTTCGCTGCGGCTGTCATCCAGGTGACTGTGGGAATCTTCCCTTTTCACAGGATTCCCTTCATGCTATAGACAGACTCGTGTAGGCTTACAAGTAGGTTTTTGAAAAGCTCTTAGGCAAAATGTCACCATATCCTAGAGAAAGAGGGGTGTTCATTCGCATCATGACTGAAACAGTGGATGTTTGTGATTTTGTCCTGTTTACTCTAGATTTGGAATTCCGTGACTGGGGAACTTGTACATACCTATGATGAGCACTCGGAGCAAGTGAACTGCTGCTGTTTCACCAACAACAGTCAAAACCTTCTCTTAGCCACTGCATCAAATGACTCTTTCCTCAAAGTAAGCGTGGGTATTGAGAATTATGTAGACACAAGGATATATCAGAACATCTCCTTGGATTTTCTCGTGTATTATTAGGGCTTTTATTTTATTTTTTTTCTGCAGTGATGGAAACTTCCGTATTAACTTAATTTTTATTTATTTATTTAGCGGTTCCGGGGATCGAACTCACGACCTTGTGCTTGACAGGCAGGTGCTTATACCACTGAGCTATGTCCCCAGCCCCCCATATTAAGTACCCCTTCCCCCAGAAGAAGGATACTATTAGCTTACATAACTGAAAAGTCTAGCAGTGACGTGAATCTGAACTCAGGCGACGCTTGATTCCAGGTGGTTAACCTTAGTTCTCAGGGTCCAGCTCCCTCTCCATCCCCAGGCTCTGTCTTCCTCTTTATGGTTCCTTATGCAGCCTCTGTGTGGCAGGTAATACAGCCAGCTCGGCTTCTCGGCTCCAGGATTATTTATTTGAATCTTGCCGCTTCTAGTCACAGAGGGAGAGAAGCTTACCCTGCCCCAGATCTCATACATCTGATTTTATTTTCTTTTTTATGGTTTTTAAAGTTTAGTGAAGACTGAACCTAGGGCCTTGGGTACAGTGACTGAGCTAATCCCCAATCCCATCCATACATCTGTTGTAGACCAGACTCCTGTTCACTCTCTGCTTCGTGCTCATTGCTGTGACCCCAGTGACTAGTAGAATAGAATCCTCGACTTGTCAAAGGTCACAGGTTTAGCCATATAAGCGTGGGACAAGTGAGGTGGGGCCAGCTGTATGTGAATCAGAACTAGAACTTAATTGAAAAGAAACATTGTTAGAGAAAGGAGGGAAGGTGCTGCTAGACAAACAGAAGACAACAAACTAAACCAAAAATCTTCGTTCTCTGTATATTTGCTAATGATTGTAATCATGAGTTACAAAAAGGTGTATCTTTTTTCCCTGTAAGTGATGAAGATAGCTAGATTAAATTCTGGAAAGATTAGTTAAGTTCTTTTTTTCTTCTTTTTGGCTTGATCTCTACGTCTTCCTCAGTGTCAACCATCTTTGCAAGGTGAACTCATAGTTCTGGGGAGGGGTAGGTAAATAATTTCAGGGTGTAGACCCCATAGACTCTGTATTTTGACATTTCCACAGATTATTTCAAGGTTTTAGGAAAATATTGACATATTTACTGACAACTGCCCTCCCTCTTTTTAGGTTTTTGTTTTTTGGTGCTTGGAATTGAACTCAGGACCTTGTACTTGCCAGGCAGACTCTTGTACCACTGCGCTATATCCTCGGCCCTCCCCTCTTTTTAGGAAGCCAAACCTTTGTTTATTTTTCTCCAAAAGAAAAAGACATAGGATCTCGGTGTTTAAAATATATGAAGCCTGTTACTGTGGTTAAAGTAGGGGCTGGGCCTACATTCCGTACTCTTAGTCCTTCTCTCCTCCTCCTCCTCCTTTGCAGACAGGGTAATGGGCTCCCCAGGGCCCTGCAATTCCTAATTTAAAACAGTGTATTGGACCAAAATTGCAGATTAATTGTAGTAACATAAAACTATTTCACAGCTATAGCTCACTTTTACTTAGGAAAGCTTTACCGTATTTGAATAAAGCCACCTGTAAAAGGAGAAGTCGGGGCTGGGGGTTTAGCTCAGTGGCACAGTGCCTGCCTGGCAAGCGTAAGGTCGTGAGTTTGATTCCCAGTACCGGAAAAAAAAAACCCAAAAACCAAAAAATAAAAAAATAAATAAAAAGGAGAAGTCTTATTACTTGTGACTACTGTATGTGTGTGTGTGTGTGTGTGTGTGTGGTACTGAGAATTGAACTGAGGGCACTGAGCTACTCTGAGCTCCCTTTTTGTTTTTATTTTTATATTTATCTATTTATATTTTTATTTTGAGACATGGTCTTAATAAATTGCCCCATCTAGGCTTAAACCTGTGATCCTCCTGCCTCAGCTTCCCAAAGTTCTAGGATTATAAGCGTGTGCCACCACATCCAGCCTATGTCTACTTTTTGATGTTACTTTTTAACATGTTGAAGATTGAAAAGGTTTCTGTTACCTCCTCTTAAATATAGATTGAAAACCTCTACCATGTGGGAGGGGGTTTTGGTTAATAAACAATTTTAATTAAAGGCAAGTTTTATTTTAAATTCTGTTATACCATGCGTACATCATGATAGACTATTAAAATGCACTTGTTTTGATTTCTTGAGCTGAGAATACAGCGAAAAATATGTAAATCTGAAGCTCCCTCTATGTAACTTGCCTTATCTGAAGAATTGCTTTTATTTTTTTTAGACAGGGTCTAAAAGGCCAGTTCAGGCTGGCCTTAATTCACTACGTAGCCCTTGCTGCAATCCTGCCTCAACGTTGCTAGTACTGGAATTACAGGCATGGGCTACCATGCTGGCTTTTAAGAATTACATTTAGTGGGACTAGGCTCAAGGAGCCAAGGATGGAGATGGACATGAGGAATAGGGTTTATCTCACTTACTGATCATTTCAAAAGAATTTCTTCCAAGATCAACTTTTGGTGATATGTGACTTCTTCCCCTGGGTTTATGTAATTAGTGCAAATCACCAGAGACTGTAGCCCTTGTTATGTACATTGTTTAATATTTGCAAATATACTCAAGGGACAGAATACAATAATGAGCCCCTGTGGTAGCCATCATCTAGTCCAACAAATTACATATGAAGTCAGATATTTCCAGTCCTCTTTTATCACTCCTTCCCTCTTTTTGGGCTAGCGTATTTTGTAGCAACTGCTCCACCCAGAATACTGTAGTATGCTTCTTGGAGCTCTTAAATGTGTCATGCCATGACCACATCTAACAATAAACTGTAGTTTTGTTAGATACCTGGTCTATCTCTGCTTTCCCCAGTAGTCTCAAAACATGTCTTTCTAACAGGTTTATTTGGATCAGAATCCCAAAAACGTGGCACTTGGTCGTTTTATCTCTTAAATCTCTTTTATTCTGTCAAACTTCCCCTTTCTTTTTCTTTTTCTTTCTTTGTGGTACTGAGATTGAATCCAAGACTCTGCTTGAGTCTCCCCTTTCTGGAGACAGGTTGTCCCTAAATTGCTAAATTGCCCAGGCTGGGCTTGCACTTGTGGCCCTCCTGTCTCCACCTCTTACAAGAAGGATTGTTGTGAATTCGAGACTAGCCTGGGCTATAAAGTGAGCTCAAGGTCAGCCTGAACTGCATAGTGAGACCCTGTCTCAGAAGACAAAGAAAATAAATCAGGACAGTTTATATTGCATATTACTTCTAGCTTTTTGTAGTTGAGTAACATAATAAGGATTCTCAATTACTCAGTTAAAATAATTAGTAATTGTTTAGTTATTTAGGGATCAGAGTAAAAGCTTCTTTAAGTCCCTCTGTAGATTTAGATGTTGATCTAAAGTCAGCCTTATTAATCACAAGTTTATCTTTGTATTTGACACCTTTGTGTTACTTTGAATTGAACATTGTTCTTTAGCCTAAAGATCTTAATTGGAAGAGGAGGAAGAGGCTGATACGGTTTTTTACTTTTCCTTACTTAGTATCAGTGTTTTTTTTAATGTATCCTTTTATCTTTCTTAAATAGCTGTGGGACTTGAATCAAAAACAGTGTCGAAATACCTTGTTTGGACACACAAATTCAGTTACTCACTGCAAATTTTCCCCAGATGATGAGCTTTTGGCTAGTTGTTCAGCTGATGGAACATTAAAGGTAAGCTTTTGTACATTATTAAAATGGACTATAATTTTAGGGGAAGTCTTATGATTTAGTTATGGAAATCTGTTTGTTTGTTAGTTGTTTTTGTCACTGTGACAGAATACCTGAGAGAAATAGCTTATAAGAAAAAAGGTTGTTTTGGCTCATAGTTCCAGAGGTTTCTGTTTATGGTTGCTTGGCCTCGTCACTTTTGTCCTGTGGTGAGGCTGGGGGTGTATGGGTATGGCAGAGTAAATCTGCCCACCTCGTGGTTGTGAGGAAGCAAAGGGACAGGAGAGGGCCAGGATCCCCGCACCCCCCAGGGTGCACACCCAGTGACCTCGCTTCCTTCTTCTAGGCCCTGCTTCAGGAAGCTTGCACCATCTCCTAATGGTGCCACAGGTGGGGACCAAGCTTCAAGATATGGCCTTTGGGGATAGTCAGGATCCAAACCATAGTACTGTTTTTTCTACAGAAAGAGCTGCTGCTTCAACTCCTAGTAGCAGGTTCAGTGTAATCATAATTGCTCCTCCCAGTGATTGTTTGTGAATGGTTTACAATCTAATGTTTAAAATTCATGCAATTCGAATTCTTTAGTTTTATGCATGTATTCTTCAAGTATTTAAGATCTATAAGGTAAGGTTTGTAAAGGACTGTTTCACTTCTCATTTATTCTGCCTTTTTTTGATTGTTTTTCTGTTTTTGAAAAACCGTATGGAGGGATAACTCAAGACTTACGGAACAAAGCTTACGTGGTCTCTTGAAATTTATGTTCCTGAGAAAACCTAAATCCTTCTTCTTTAAATCCCCACCTCACTTCTGAAATAAAATCCAAATTTTACTTTCTTATTCTTGCCTCTGCTGCCCCTTTTGTCCCTTCCTTCCCCTTCCTGAGAACTTTCTGTAAGCATTTTTTGGGAAGTATTCTCATACAATACCTGTCTGTGTGGTTCTGAACACATAGCTTTGCCTATGTCAATCCGTTAATCTATAGATACAAACTGGTTTGTCTTTGTTTTCCATGTGTAAATATGTATGCTGCACAGCTGAGTCATTTTCTTGTGTTCTTTAATAAGATTGACCGTAGGTTGATGATCTTCAGGGACCATATCATCTTTCTGTTGAGTGTCTGCTGAAGTTCACAGTACAGAACTGTACGCAAGACACAAACCAGTAACCTTGACATGTACACTACTTCTAGAGAAATACTTAAACTCTCCTAGCTTGTTAGAATCTCTTTAGATGAAGATTTGTTAATTTTTCTAGGTAACTCCTTAGCAAAATAAACTCTCTTGATGCTACTGTGATTGAGTCTTTGATCTCTCTTTGCTGACTGCAGATAATTCATTTTTTTTGTATAAATTACTCCAGGGCACCTAGAAACCCTTTCAGAGTAGAATCACTAGCTAATGGTGAATTTGGGGAGCATTCTTAGGTAGAATATTCAGGTGAATGAATTTTAGCATCTTTGATTTGGTACCTACAAATATCAAATATCCTTCTTTTCCTTTAGGATGGCCTATGTTATTGGAGGTGTCTGCATTACTTTTCTCATTGCTGAGACAAAGTTCCGGGCACCAAAGTTAAAAGAGGAAAGTTCTGTTTGGCTCACAGTTCGTAGGGGTTTCAGTCCATAGTTGGCTGGCTGCAGGGCGGGGTGGTGTGCCAAAAGCGATTGTAAGGGGAGACAGTGCGTGGCAGCAGAAGGTAGCAAAGCAGTGAAGTAGCAAGCAGCAAGCCACCCTCTTTCTGTGCTCCATATTCTTCCATCCAGGCTCCCGCACAATCAGGGTGGGGCACCCTTAATCCTGCCCAGAATTTTGCCAAACCAGTGGCTAATTTAGTAGTCGCACAGCCTTGATCCCAGCGTCACACTCTAGGTCCAGCCACCTCTAAAAAGCCCCACGGATGACCACAAGAGGCTTCGGGGGACATGTAGACATAAACCATGACAGGAGGTTTTTCAGAATATTCTTGGGTGGCCTAAGGCAGCTTTCTTTTGAGAGAGTCTTTCTATCCTGTCATGCTTTATTTCTTAGTTTTTCGCTGTGTGAATGAATGGCTTCAGAAGAAGGCATTCTATACATCAGGGCAAGCTCTCTTTCCATCAACCTCCATTGAAAATTCCACATCCTCCAACTGTGCCCAGCCTGCGTCCACTGTTTTTCTTTTATTGGCCTTCCTCTTTTGAGTGAGGAGGTTTAGTTAGGGCCGTATATAAAATACATAATATACTGAGTGTGTATAAGTAACAAAACTTCTTTTTTTGTATTTTTTTATTATAAGAGTACACAAAAGAGGACAAAGAAGGGGGGACATAGGTTGGACACATCATTTCATTATTATTAGTTGTGGAATGTTCAAGAAGATTTTATTATTCCACGGGGTTTTTTTTTGTATCGGGAATCGAACTCAGGACCTTGCGTTTGCCAGGCAGGTGCTTATGCCACTGAGCTATATCCCCAGCCCAAGAATATTTTAAAATGAAGCCATTCATTTGTTCCAGAGAAGTAAGCTGAACAGACTTACGGTCTGTTCATCCCTGGTTTTGCTGTTTCCCACTGTAATGCCTATTCTAGTCCTTTCTTGCTGGTCTTAGATGCCTGCCCTTGTATTCTGTGATGATAACCTTACCTCATAGCAATTCAAAGGGTTAAAACCACCTGCTAAAAGCTTGCTACCTGGGCCCCCCCGCAAAGTGAGCCTCCCATAAAAACTCCCATATTTTTTCTTATGCCAGTACTGAGAGAAATTCCTGTTACGTGCCCCCATGGTACCTTGCTTCAGTAGTTATTCATCTCTTACGTTACTTATTTGATTTTTCTTCTTCCTTTAGATATTTTCCCATAGCCTGTAAATATTCTTAGGCCTTCCAGAAGCTTATAATATCAAAATGTGAAAAACCTTTGCTTCTTCCTTGGATTGTCTTTTAAAATAGTCATTATCTTTTTCTCTTTGCCTTTCTGACTACACTTGAGCCACCTGTGTTAGTTTTCTGTGACTGCAACAAATACTTGCTCTTGGGCCTGTGGTGAGGCACAGGTGTGGGGCAGAGCAGAACCACTCATCTCTAGGCAGGAGTAAAGGAGAGAGGAGAAGACCAGGATTTCACAAGTCTTTTGGGTGCATTATCTCCCTTCCCTCCCATGACCTGAAGCCTTCCCATGAGGTCCCACCTCCAAAAGGCTCCCCAACCTTGTAATTCAACCATAGGTGGGGGACAAACCTGTAATGTACGGGCCTTCAGACATTCCAGGTCCGAGCTGGAGCGCTGCCTGTGTTTCCCTCCATTCCCTGACCACCTGCTCGTTGCCTAACCCATTTTCAGTCTCCTCCCATCCTCCCTGTGTAAGACTGTGCAGGGGAGACTGTGAAGTCCACTCTATCCGTCATCTCCATTTTTCTGTCGTGAAGTCCAGTGTATGTGGATTAGTGTGAAATCTGGTCGTTTTCTTTAATCTCAGTCTTTTTGTTGTACTGTATTATCAGCGTTTAACCTTCCATCACTCCTTTTTAAAAACTCCTTATTTGAATAAAACGTCAGCGGTGTAACCCTTCTCCTTTCATCTCTGGACCACTTCCTCAGTTCTGTTCCCTGCCCTTTAAAATGTGGCTGTTCCTTCAAACTTAGCTGTGGCTCCCACGCTTTCTACCTCTTTTCTGTCCTTCACTCCAGCCTCACGGCCTCAGCTCTCCCGGCTTCTGAGCGACTTTCCGCCCTTTCATCTCCAGCCTTGTTTCTCTGGGGCGCCCTGTTCTGCGTCCCTAACAGCTTGTTAGCTGTCGTCGCTTTAATGTCCCACGGTGCCTCGGAGTTACTGTGCTCTAAGTCCAGCTGGTTACTTTCTCCCCAAATGTGCCCACGTTTGTGGCTCCAGTATGGTTCATGATTTTGATTAAAACAGTGTTCAGGATTTAAAATAAAAGTTGTGACCAGTTAATTCAACCACGTAGTATGTTTTTTCCCTTTACCTTGAATTTAAACTTTTTTTCCTCTTCTCTTTGTCCATTTGCTCTACTTTCTTGAAGATTTCATTAGCTTTATTTTCTAGTCCTTCTTTTGAGGTTTTTTTTTTGTGTGTATGTGAGCCAGGGTCTTTCTTGTAGTCCAAGCTGGCCTTGAACTCACTGGGTAGCCCATGATCGCCTCAGTCTATTGCCTTTTTAACTCCTGCTATCATATTTTTAGGTACCCATTTTTATGATGTTTCTTTTTTTAGTTTATATATTTCTTTTTAATTAGATTTTATTAATGATCACATTCATCCTAGAGAACTTGTACCTTACATGGTATAACTTGTTTCTTCCCGTTCCCCTCCCCTCCCGGCGGCCCCTGCCCCTTCTGCATTACAAAACTTTGTTTGCATGTTTTCCTTCTTTCTCCAGTTTCTTTTTGTATGTAATTGTGTTCTTGATTCGTGAATGTAGTTTTAAAAATCTTCTTGCAAGTATTAATAACAGCTTTTTAAAAAGTCTTCACGTTGATATATGGCTGCTATTTTTCTGTTTGTTGCTTTTGTTACAGTTTAGAGGTACATCCTAGCTCCAGTATCTCTGCTCTCTGCTTCTGTTTAAGATTGTGGCGCTAAGGAGTTGATTGGGAATTACGGTTTCCCTGTGGGCATAGCTGGCTTTCGTGTTTGATGGTGAGCTCCTGACGTTAGTCTTTACGCCTTGTCTAATGTAATTTTCTGGCTCCTCCTACTTGTAGGGATACATGTCAGCGGTATCTAGGGTTCTCACCATTTGAAACACAAGCTTTCTCTTAATTTCCCTGTTTTCAGTATTCTCGCTCTGCGCCCAGTTGTGCCGAGTGTGAAATAGCCCTGAGATCTTAGCACAGAGTCTGGAGGGGATCTCATGGCTGTTAGTGTCCTCGCAAGTTAGCTCTGCCTTTCCCGGCGGTTCCAGGGCAGCACTTGCTGAACCTTCTAGATTTGTGGCCTGAGCTGTGCTACTTGGTTTTTAAAATTAATTAATTAATTAATTAAATTTTTATTTTTTGTCTTATTGAGACAGGGTCTCCCTATTCAGTTCAGGCTGGCCTTGAGCTCACTTTGTAGGCCAGGATGGCCTCGAACTCACAACGATCCTCCTGCCTCAGCCTCCTGAGTGCTGGGATTACAGGCATGCGCCACCACGCCCAGCGCTACTTGGTTTTAGAAGTCTCCTCGTCACTTTTCTTTTTGCTTTGTAGCCTTCACAGTTTTGCTTCTGTAATCTTTTCTACCATTCTCCCCTACCTTGGAGGTGAGGCCTAGAGAGAAAAATTCCCTTATAGTTGCTTTACCTGAGTTTCAGGAGGGCCCGGTGATGAATATATGTGTTCTTTGTGCACTTTTAACCTGAAGGTTATTTCTGTCAGTACTACTGTTGTCTACTTACTTGTGCTTGAAACTTGAATGAAATCTGGTTTTTTTTTTTCATTAAAAATGTATCTGTTGATCATTTATTATTTACTGTGTGCCAGATACTATACTAGACATATGAGTTGTAAATACTGAACAAAACATTAAAAAGTACACTTGCTGGCCTGACATTATTCAGAATCAGCTTGGGGACAAAGGTAAATGAACAGGTGAACCATGAAGATGGTAAAATTATAGAGAGGGTAGTTTTTGTTGTTTTGCTTTGCTTGTGTGTGTGTGTGTGTGTGTGTGTGTGTGTGTGTGGTGCTGCTGGGGACTGAACCTTGGGAGTGCTGCACTGCGTTCCCAGTCCTTTTTATCTTTTTATTTATTTTGAGTCAGGGACTCACTGAATTATCTGGGCTGCTCTCAAAGCTGCCATCCTTCTCCCTCTCATTGGAACGGTGGTACACATCACCGTGCCCATCTATCTAGAGTGTGTCGTCAGGGCAGAGGACTTTGTTGGCTAAGGTTCAGCTTCTGATGCTGTGACCAGGTTGAGCTTGCTCACCTTTTTCGTTGTGTTTGCCTTCCCATTTTGCATTCTGGCTTGTGCTTAGTAGAGTGGTGGTGGGCCTGTGGCACGTGTGCTGCTGTTGGCTGTTTGTTATCATTGAAAGCTCTAAAAGGTTCACAATCACTACTTAGTGTTAAGTCCTGGAGCATTCCACCTGCTTTTAGATGCTGACTTTCTATCTAGAGGTACCATAAGGTAGGCTAATCATCAAGGAGTAGAGGAGGTAGTGACCTCCTGCAGGGTTCCTCAAGCTTAGAGCTTGACTACAGCATTCTTTTGTCTGTTTTATGAGACAGGATCTCCCTATGTAATTTAGACTGGCCTTGAATTTAATATATAGCCCAGGCTGTCCTCAAACTCAAGACAGTCCTGCCTCTGCCTCCCGAGTGCTGCAGTTAGAGTTGTGTACCACTATGCCTGGTGAATGTAGCATTCTTGTTGGGCTGTCTTTTCCTCTCCAGTGACTGTCTGACATTTCTTGTGTTAGAGTCACTTAAGTGTTTGTCTTGCCTCTCTTGCTGGCCTGTGAGCTTCTTGAGGGTAATATGTAAATCTGGTTCATCTTACAAGTGTGAAGTGACTAGCGTAGTCTTTCATAAATGTGTAAACGGGGCTGGGGATATAGCTTAGCGGCACAAGCACCTGCCTAGCAAGTGCAAGGTCCTGAGTTTGATTCCCGGTACCAAAAAACCAAAATAACACAAAAAACCATAAATGTGTGAACAATGTAAACTGCAACTGATTCCCTTCAAATCAGTCCAAGTCTGCATTTGTCAGGGGCAGGTTTTGATCGCTGTGTTTTCCTGCGTGAGTGCCAGCAACAGCAGGGGACAGGCATTGCCACATGCCCAGGGAGACTTCTTGTGTTTGGTGGTGGCTTCCCCACAGTGCCAATAAGCCAGTGTCGCCTGCTGATTTGCTCGGACACAGTGACATATACCAAGCAGAGGTCCTGCAAAATGATGTTAGATAACAGCATTTCAAGGTCAAAGTCTTCTAAGGTTTTACCGTCTGAAAGGATGGCAACAGTAAAATTACCTTCTGCCCTAAGTGGTTCTAAAATTTTCTAAGCTTTTTGTAGGATATCATGTAGGTAAGCATGTGGTTTTCTTGGGGGTGGGGTGGGCTTTGATGGTAAATTGTTTCAAAATGTGAGTTTTTCTTAAAAAATTGTCACTGAATACACACAAGGGCTCAGGGTCCATGGGGGCCCTGGACACAGAGCACTGAGAACGATACGCTGGCCTTAATTTATCTGGTCCCTGCATGTGTGGGATTTCACCTCCGGGTGGATAGGAGCCAAAGCCACGCTCAGGAGCAGATGTGGTTCAGGCAGGTATAATGAAATCGGATCATGTTATTTTCCTCTTTCTTTCATCTATCCAGGCAGTTGCTTTGTTTTTCCTATAAATAGGGAAACAGAGTGTGACTTCTCATGTGTTCTGGCTGATGTGACTGAAGCTCTGGCACTTACTTTTTTTTCTCTTTAGTGTTAGGAAAGGCTAACTGTTTTAGTCCCTGCTGTCTCATGCTTTATTTAGTTTCCCCACAGTGCTTGCAAGGGGAAGGTTTTGGTTAAGCTCACATTTCTTGGTATATGTAATATTTCTCTAAACTAATATTTCTCTAAATATTTAGAGAAATATTACATATCTAAAGATATGTCTGGTCAGAAAAATCAGGTTTTATCTGGGAGCTATGCTTTGAAAATTGGGGCAAAGCCTTAAAAGCAGCTTTTTTTTTTTTTTTTTTTTGGTAGAAGGGATTACGCTGAGTTGTACCCTCAGTCCTTTATGAGGCAGGGCTTTGCTAAATTACCCATGCTGGGCTCAAACGTGCAGTCCTCCTGCCTCAGCCTCCCAGAGTGCTGAAATTATGGGTGGAGCCACCATGGCCAGCTGAGAAGCGGCATGTTCTGTTCTCCTCCTTGGGCACTCCTTGGTCTAAATGTGGTAGCCATCATCTCTTGAGGCTGGGAAGCTGCTCGAGGTCTGGGAGTGAAGATGTATCTTTTGAAGGCTTTGAGTTTTCTGCTGTTGAGGTTACTCCCTAAAGTGAGGTTCAGGGTCCGTGGAACCAGGGGCCAGTGAGTTTCATACCCTTATCTGGCCCTGCCACGCACACAAGGCGTCTAGCGTCCTTCGAGCTCATCTCTGGTGTCTTTTCAGGGGCTTTGGTCTCTGGGGGCTTCTGGGTGTGCGCACCACTTCCTGCCTGGCCCAGCAGAGGGCAGCAGTGGCGAGCTGTGCTCCTCGTTCCCCTGCCCACGCTTGCCCGTACTGTTGGCACCTAATTTTTAGCCTCCGCACCACGCGAGGCCTGGTTATATTTTTGTTTAGTTTTGTAATCTCCGTTTGGGACACTGCTTCTCATTTTTTTCTTTTAGGAAGGTGATGAATGAAAACTGTAATACCTAATGTAAAAGCTTTGTAGGAAGTTATCCATAGGTAAAAATAATTTAGTAGGTAAAGTGAATAAGTTACATGACATTTAATTCAGGTTTGATTCTAGAGGTATGAGTTGAGTAAAGCAAGTTTTTTGTTTATTTTTATTTTTTTAAATTTGAAGCTCTGGGATGTGAGATCAGCAAACGAGAGGAAAAGCGTGAATGTGAAGCAGTTCTTCCTAAATCCAGAGGACTGTCAAGAGGAAATGGAGGTGATAGTGAAATGTTGTTCGTGGTCTGCCGATGGTGCTAGAGTAATGGCGGCAGCAAAAAATAAAATCTTTGTAAGTACGAATGTCTTAAAAACCAGATTCAATCTTACTTAAAGAATGTTAAAACTTCTGTTAATTTTTGCATTCTACACTGTCCGGTATAAATGAAGTCCCGCTGTGTGATTGGGGGCGGGCATTCTTGTCTTCCTTGGCGTTGGGAGCCATGCTGTGGGCTTGGGTGGCCTTGGAGAACAGGTCTCCCGCATCTGACAGCTTCCCCGTGTTTCCCGCGAGCCCCACGGTGTGAACTGCGTGTGGAGACTTCGGGTAGCCTTGCGTTACAGGAATAACTTAGGATGTTGAGGCCAGTGTTCCTTCTGTTTATTTAAGATATGAAATACTTTATCACTTTTTTTAAACCAATTTTGAATTTCCATTCCCACTGGCAATAGAGAAGGCAGGGTTCCATCTTCTCTATATCCATGGTAACGCTTTTTATTTGCATTTTAAAATTATAGCCATCCTAGTAGGTGTGAAATGGTGTCTTTGTGGTTTGGTTACATTCTTCTAATGAGCAGTGCTGTTGAGCAAAAGTTCTTGCTTTAAAAAAATTTTAAAAGATCTATCCCAGTGAAAACAGACAGTGCTATTTTATATTGCATGAAATGCGGTCATGTTTCGAAAACCTGTGGATGAGCTCTCTGTTTCACTGTGCTAAAACCGAACTACCCTAAAGTCACCTGAACATACGCAGCTCCTTGCCATCTTCTCCTTTCCCCTTCCCACTAGTGTCATGTTAGTCCACTGCTGTTGTAAGTTTTTTCTTTTTTGCTGTTCTAGGGTTGTGACATTTTTCTTTCCTTTCTTTGTGTTGGTGCTGGGCCTTGAACTCACAACCTCACGTTTGCCAGGCAGGCGCTGTGCTGCTGAGCTATATCCCCAGCCTAGTTGCGAAGTTTTTCTAGTCCGCATTCGCCAAGTTTCCTCAGTCACCCTCAGTCACTGATTTTGAAGAAGGACCTGTCCCGGGAGACACTTAAGATGATTTTCTGCCCTTTGCTGTTGGCCTTGGCTGCTGCGCTGGCCCCCCTGTGTGCCTGCTCCCGGGCTGCACGTTCCGGGCACTCACTAACCCTTCCTGGGGCCCCGCTGGGATGGAGAGGGGCTTTCGTTTTCTTCCTGGGGGCAACATCTTCACGTTGTTACTAAACTGAATCAGCAATCTAAATACATGTATTAAATAGAAACCACTTTATCATTTGGCAACAACTTTGGCAAAATATAGTCCGCGTTTAAAAATCATTCAAAATTAAAGTGAAAAAAGTTGAATTACTCCAAAGTAGCTTTTTCTGCTTCAAAAATGGGAAAATGATTAATCACAATGGAGTAATTTGTTAGCTCTGGAGAGGAATAGAAATGATTGAGCTAATTTCATTTTAGCAGCCTCTGCTCTGTATTAGTTTGATCGTCTTCATTTATGGCTGTGCATTCTCTCATTTAAATAAACAAGCATTAGGGAGAGCTACTCTGTATGTTAATTTGGCTAGTCCATTCATTTATTCGCAATAGCTTTACTTCTTTATCTAGGCCAGCTTGAGAGAGCATCTGTGATGAATTTTCCTTTACGGAAAATATAGTTCAAGATGAGCAGTATTTTAGAAGTGTACGTATATTGATCTGAGTCTTCTTTGTGACTGTCAATAATTATGCGACTTACCAGTAATTACTGTTTTTCAGGACTTACATTTTATATTTGAAGCAGGAGGCGATATAAAAAAATAAAGTCAGTTTTGGTCTAGCTTCTCTTTTTAAATATTTTACCTTCGTGTCATCTTATTATTTACGTTCACAGCTTTTGGACGTTCACACCAGTGGCCTCGTAGCAGAAATTCACACTGGCCACCACAGTACCATCCAGTACTGTGACTTCTCCCCCCAGAACCACTTGGCAGTGGTGGCTTTGTCCCAGTTCTGCGTGGAGGTAAGTGGGAGAACTTGTCCAGAGCTACCTGCGTTTCTTGAGATCTGAGCACTGCAGAGAACGAGCTGCTTTCACCATTAGCTGGAGGGATGTTTGATGAGAAGTTATATTTTCTTTATAACCTAATGGCCTGCAGCTGTGGGACATTTAACTGTAGAGCTGGCTTTATTATTTTAACAGTGACTGAAGATTTGACAGTGTGACGGAGTGGCTGTATCACTCACCGAGCATTTCCTCAATGTTAAATGTGTGCTGTAGTCTGAGGAAACAGTGAAATGACCATTGATTTCCCAAGCGAAACTTTGGCGTTTCTTAAGAAGTAGGGATACAGACTTTTCTTAAAAGGAGTGATGAGAGTTCCATTAACATTCTTAGATTACTGAGTAGGATCAGATGGAAAATACCATCCATTTGGAATTGGTTAAGATAAGGATCTTCATTGTTGAGCCCTACTGAATAAAATGATTCTTATAAATAACTTGTCTATATTTATAAATTTTATGCTCAGAATCTTTACCTGAAGAATTCTGCCCAGTGAGTTGCTATATTAATTTATTTAATACTCAGTGAGTTGTATTTTTCCTTCAAAGAAGGAATAGTTTTCCAAGATTGCAAGTTTGAGACCCCTTGAGATCTCAGTTCTAGAAGGGTGTGGGTCTTCATCTGCCAAAGCTGGGAAATTCACCTGGTTCATAGGCTACTCTGAGGGAAACATTGATTACTGCAAGTACTTTATAGTGTTCTGTGCTGCTTTCAGCAGTTTTTAGTGAGTTTGCCAATCTTGCTCCTTCCTGTTCAGGCATTAGGGGGGAGTTGCTAAGCTGTAGCCCTTCAGCCTAGAGGTAACAGATAGGATGAGAATGAGGGATGAGCTCTGTAGGTGCCTCCTGATTCTTAAGAACATCAGTTTACATAATGCTGAAGGATTTCTCTGCTTAGAACTGCCCACTGCAAGCAGAGGCAGCAAGTTACAGTGCTCCAGTTCTGTATGGAACAGTAGGAAGAAGTGAGGAGCTATGGGCAGTGTTCCCTTGGGCTGAATTGGTGTATTCAGATCCGCTGAGAGACCTAGGACCTTACTTATAGACCTCAAATAGGCGTGGCTAGAATTTTCCTTCTTTGCATTTCGTAAAGGTTTTTAGAAGGATTGGAAAAACAGCCCCTTTCTCAGCCTTTCCTGTCATTTTTTGCCCTCTCTCTGAGTCCTTAGAAACTCCAGGAAAGTGTCTTCTTTTTTGAAATGTAGGAATGTGGCACTGGTGCCTCCACAAATATGAGGGTGAGATACAGAAGAACACGGAGGGGGAGAGAAGGCTTTTCCAGGGAGATTTTCACTTGTGGAATCGTTTTCATTTCTGGTCTGTAGCTGTGCACATCCCAGGTTGGACTCTAGAGATAAGGCAGAGGAAATTTCATATAATTCATTGTAACTGTAGAACGCAGTGGATGAAAAGCAGTGGGCATGTGATGAAGTACTTGTTTTGTCCATACTAGTTCTAAAATCATAAAGTAGGTCTGTAATTGAGTGTATTAGAGGAACTCAGGCACAGGTGGTATTTCATTAGACTGGGATATGTTTGCATAATTCACGGCAGAACACAGGGCAGAACGTAGCCAGGCTGGTAGTAGACATTGACAATTTGTAATAAGCATTAATAATGAGAATGTGAACATGGTACAATTAATGCGTCCATTTATTGGGGTTTTGCAGTCAGATGAAATAAAGGTTAGATGACAGACAATATTGGTGAAAAATTGTGAATGGAAGCGGCTTGTGTTGATCTTATTATTTTTTAGATAGATTTTTAAAAATAGATAAAAGATGCTTCCAAAATCCAAGCTTTATAAAAAGTGATATTCAGAGAAGTCTCACAGTGCTTATCTCTTCCCCTCCACTCTTCTTTTGCTGTTCCATAGGTAACAGTGGTTTTTTTTTGTATAAACAGATTATGTGCATGTGTCCATGTACTTATATATGTGTGTGTATATATATACATATATATATATATATATATATATATGTACATGCCTGTGTCCATCTGTATGTGTACATCTCTATTTCTAACTCATATAAAATATAGTACATGTACTCTTCTGCATTTTGCTTTCTTTCTGTTACTATATCCCAGAAATTAGTCATTACCAAGTTTTTCCCTCACTCATTTTGTTTAGTGTGGTATTCTGTTATGTGACTAATTAGTCTTGATCATTTGGGTTGTTTCTAGTTGTTTGCTATTAAAAAATAATCATACAATGAATAATCTGCATAAGACATTTTGTATTTTTGAAACGTACTATAGATATTGTGAAGTAGGAAAAAACTGTGCAGAAGGAAAAGGGAAGTAGGGAGGGGGAGGGGGAAAGGAAGGAAGGGAAAGAAAAAAATGAGACAAGGATGAAATGAAAACCAAGCTTTGTGAGTGGGGAGAGGAAGGAGGTTTAAAAGGAGGGGATGGGAATGGGGGAAAAAAGAGGAATCAAGATATATGTGTGAGCCGGGCGTGGTGGCGCCCTCCTGTAATCCCAGCACTAGGAGACGGAGGCCAAGGCAGGAGGATCTCTGTGAGTTTGGGGCCAGCCTGGGCTACAAAGTGAGCCCAAGGCCAGCTTGAACTACATAGTGAGACCCTATCTTAAAAAGACAGAAAGAGAGAGAGAAAGAAAGGAAAGAAAGAGAGACAGAAAGAAAGAAAGAAAAAGAAAGAAATAGGTGCATATACGGATTCCTTATAATGAATGTGGTCATTATGTATACCTAAATTGTATCAATAAACTTAAATTTTTAAAAGACATTTTTATTTTTGGTAGTGTCTTTGGACTATATTACTGGAAGTGGTCATTTTTGGTATTTTCAGTAGGCTTGGTGTGTTTAGAATGCTTATGAATGTGGTTTTCTATATTCTGTAGTTGTGGAATACAGACTCATGTGTGAAGGTCGCTGACTGCAGAGGACATTTCAGTTGGGTTCATGGTGTGATGTTTTCTCCTGATGGATCATCATTTTTGACATCTTCTGATGACCAGACAATCAGGGTGAGAGATTTTTGAGATTTTAATTTAAACATTTATTGATTTTTTAAAAAGTTTTTAAGAAATTAAGGAACTGGTAAGGAAATATTAGAGAAAGTAAAACAGGAAGCTGCTTGATCCATCTTCACCCTGGACAGGTGCTGTGATGTACTGTAACAGTTTCATTTATGCAGACGTGCTCCTTGAGAATTACCATGTGCTGTGGAGTCCAGTGCGTAAACTGTATTTTGGTTAATTTACATGTATTTCATTTGATTCTTGAGCGTAGTCTTCGGCTTGCCCTTCTGCCCTGAATTCTCACACCCATATAAGATACTGTCAGTATTGACAGTTCTGATAGATTTTACCTTTCCATCGTTCTTGTCATTTTATCTTCCCTTTTGTTCCAGTTGCCCAGGTTCACACCCTCGTTACCTGTTGCCTCTTTTATATTAGTCTCAGCTACAAATCTTCTTTCTTGCTTTCCTACGCGTGGCTTTCTCCTCAGGTACAGTACAGGCGTCCCTTTATCTGGAGGGTATCTGGAGGGATGCTGGGGTTGGACCTGGCCCTGCGCTGGCTAAGCATGCGCTCTGCCACTGAGCTGCATCCTTAGCCTTCGTCACGTCATTTTTGCTCAAAAGCTGGTCATGACTTCACTTTTCTGCCAAAGCAGAGATGCTCTTCAGTGCCATGCAGATTCTCTACCTCAAGCTCTCTCTCTGTTCTACTCATTCTCAGTTTGTCTCCACAGTAACCTACCTGGGGTTGCTCACACTCCCCAGTTTCTGTTTATGAACTTTGGCTCAGGCATCTTAGAATACATTGTATCTGTGTGTGTCAAACCCTAACCATCCTACAGGCCCCTCAAGACTTCCTCATTGACTGGGTGTCGTCTCCTTTAAGGCCATAAAATTCGCTGTCAGTTTTGTAATGGGGCTTGTCAAATTCTGACTTCACAGGCAGATTTGATTTACTCTGCACCACCCCCCCCATTGCTCTGCTGCGTGCCTGATTTAGTCACACATTTTAGAGTAGAACTCTGCTTGGTCCCTGCAGTATCTAATTCAGTGTTTTATTCATACAGCTACAACTTACTAATACTTCCTTCATGTCAGACATTGTGCAAAGTACTGGATATGCATTAATTTACTAATAGTCCTTTTTTGTGGTTGAGTGAAAAGCACAGAAAGGTTAGTACTGCGTAATGTGCCAGGCTCATTGAGCTTAAGCTAGAATATAGGTCAACCCACTGCTTCCTTCATCAAGAAACTCTTATTAAAAAACAGTATCGCTAAACCTACAGGTACAGTAGGTTTAGTGAGATAGTTGATTTACATTCTGGTGCACACTTGCTGCCTTGTGGACTGGTATCAGTGTGAGAACCAGTGGGTGGTCCTTACCTTTGATTAGCACCGGGTTAACCTGCCTAAAGGCACAGCTGTCTGAAGAACTGAATTCATATTAAGGCATTTTGGCTCCAGAGCCCAGAACTCCTAATACTAACTGCTTCTTACTAAAGAATGTGTTAATAAATAATCATTGTTGGGTTATAATCTAATTTCAATAATTGAAAAATTTCTAACGGATTGTAACTGTGAAGCATAGTTTGTATCTTTTTCTTTTTTTTTTGGTTTTTCTCTGGTACCGGGAACCGAACTCACGACCTTGCGCTTGCCAGGCAGGCGCTTTGCCGCTGAGCTAAATCCCCAGCCCCCATAGTTTGTATCTTGCCTTGAGGCTGACACTTGTCCTTATATTACCTCGGAGGTGGGACTGATAGCATACACTTTTATTAGTTTCTTTGTTTCTTAATCAGGTCTGGGAGACAAAGAAGATGTGTAAAAACTCTGCCGTTGTGTTAAAGCAAGAAATAGATGTTGTGTTTCAAGACAGTGAAGTGATGGTCCTCGCAGCTGACAACGTAAGACGTCTGCAAGTGAGTATTTTTAGAAAATAATTGGAAAAAGTGTTTTGTTTTTCTTGTTTATGGGAGTCAGGCATAATTGTAGAGTGCCTAACTGGTGACCAATAGGCATTAGTCAAAAAAAATCTATGGGTCTTGAGCTGAGGCTTATGTATGCCAGTATTTAGAATTAAATTAGGTGCTTCCTCACCTCCCATGTTCCTCTCCCAGTATCTGTGGTCACATTCCTTGGTTTGTGTGGAGTCTCAGGATCACCCTTAGGACAGCTTTGTTCATAGGAATGTTTTAGACAGGTCCCATGGCGTAAGTGAGGAGGACGGGAAGCACTTTTGGAAGAGAAGCCCTCATGGAAGCACTTTTTCAGGGGAAGGAAATAGGGCCTTTGAAAAAACAGAAATCATTGTAAGTGGGGAAGGAGTTTTAAATACCAGAACTGAGGCGGAAAGAGCTATCTTGTCTTGGTTACTTTTTTCTCGCTGCTGAGATAAAATACCTGACGACCAAAATTAAGGAAGGAAAGGTTTATTTCGCTTACACTTTGTGCAGGTTTCAGTGTGTACTTGGCAGATTATAAGGCAGAGTGGCACATGGCAAAGGCTGCATCTCAGGGCGGCAGCACACAGCTAAGCAACCAGCACACACCAGGGCGGAATGGGGGAGGAATGGCCTCAAGCACCCTTTTCCTCTCCCTTACATGTGCAAACTATCCACCCCAGGGCGGGTGCAGCTCTCACACCCCCAATCAATCAACTCTAAAAGCCTGCCCCATGGCTGCATGAGGCTTTGGGGGGACACACCGACAAGCCATAACATATCTGCTGTAGTACCTGTTTGTACATTCATTTATCCGCCCGTGTCCTCAGTAAACGTGGTTGTGTCACAGTAACCTGTGTTGTGTCACTGAGAGAAGGGTATCGCTTCTGGATCCAAGCTGTGGACTCTAGGCTGCCTTCCCTGAGCCCCTAACGAAGCGTCCAGCGCCTGAGAGGAAGGCATTTCTTCACTGGCGGCCGAGGAGGCCCAGGGGCCTGGTGCAGAGTGGTACTTCCGAGCCTGGGTAGTGGTAATGGAGAGAGCAGATACCCTCGGGAGCATTGGCATTCAGTGGCAGAGTAGTGTCCCTGGGTTGGTGGCCTCTGAGTGGAAGTCCAGTGCCGTCAGCCTTGCACTGACGGAGAGGGCCTGCGAGTGGTGGCAGCAGGAAGACGCTAATGGAGTATCAGACCCGAGGGAATGCCTGCGGGGTGCCCAGCCCACAGGGAAGAGCCGCACGGGGTTCTTGCGGCAGTCAGCGTGAGCAGCCGAGGGACAGCGAGTTGTGAGGGAAGTGGTGGTGACGGTGGCAGCAGAGGAGGGCCAGCCAAGGAGGGCGGTCCGCTTGCCTATTACGTGAACGCGAGACGATCCCCTTGCCTGAGGCTCCTCGGACAGCCTGTTGTGGGCGAGGGCTAAAGAGCCTGTGTCATTTCTGCACTCTGGGAGCTGGTTGTAGACTGTAGAATGTGAATTCGGGAGACGGTCGTGGAAATAATTGGTTTTGGTCTGTGGTAACTTGTCTTCACCTGCTGTGGGAGTCAGAATCAAGCTGTGAGACGCCTGTAAACAAGGCCTGCTTCGTATTATATAAGTTCTCTCTAGTCCTGAAGATCTTGGTTGGTGCTCTGTATTTCTGCAATGAATTTAGCTACAGAATTTTTTTGTTTATTTGTTTTGTTTTTCTTCCGGTACCAGGAATTGAACTCATGATTCCTTGCACTTGCCAGGCAGGCGCTTTGCCCCTGAGCTAAATCCCCAGCCCCTTTAGATAGAATTGAGCATGAATTCCCCTTAGCTGGATTTTAGTAGGCAGGTTGTCCTGCTTGGGATATTTTCATTGTAGTTTCTTGTCAAGTTTAGTGTCCTCATGCCTGTATTTCCTGTTAAATTTGTGCAACCTTTAACAGTTGTCAGGAACTGGGGGATTTATGAAGCTAACTGACTATGAAAGTATAATTTTATGCTATGCCAGTGTTTGGGGGAGAGTTAAGGTACTAATTCCATTTAAGTGAATAAAACATTTATTAGTTACTAGTTAAAAGAGCTCTTAAAATTGATTTTTTGAGATGAAGATATTCAGCTTTTCATAGTTCATTCTTCATTTAAAGTATCTCTTAGGACACACTGGGCAAAATGTTGTAAAGAAAAGCTACCTACGGTTCACTGGCCCTCTAATCTTTGTACCTGAAATGAATTTGACTGCTTATTTTGTGCTGAAAAATAATTCCAGAATTTTAGATTATGATGCTAAGTCAGAGAGGGATATCTGACAATTGATTTAGGCTTGAAACGTACTTTCCAAGGTTACATGTTTTAGTTGAGAGCTAAGGCACCTTTTTTGTGGGATTTCCAAAGACAATAATTAGCATTGGTTCAGGTTGTAAAATTGAGTAATCTAAGCATTATAATTCCAGCCACTCAAGTTACGCTTATGGCTCCCTCCCCCTGAAAGGGAGAGGATCTTAACTTACCTTGTTTTGTGAATGATGTGGAGACTATAACATATTTTAATTTACATTTGTCTTTTTATACAATGTCTGTCTCAGTCCTTCTTCACCAACCCTTTTGAAATTACCAGAAGAGTGGATTTTGACAAATGTAACCCTATCAAAGGTGGGCTTTGTGAGGAAATGGGAAACGGTGTGGCGCTCGCTGGGAGCTCACAAGTCAGACAGATGTGTCTCTGGTGGTGGGAGAAGCAGCTGCTTCTAAACCTTTTAAAGCTTGTTTTATTTTATGGAAATGTATTGGAGCCACAGAAGTGAAATGAAATGAAAGCATAAAGTGCTAAATGCAGCTGCTGAGACAAGGATAGGGCTTTGTTGTTCCTGTGGGAGCTCTTGTTGGTTATCTTCTGTGTTTTATTTCTAAATTGAAGCCGCTATTCTTCAGAGCAAAAACTGCTCGTACAACCTGACAACTAATTGTTCCTTATTTTTCATTAGCTCATTAATGGAAAAACAGGTCAGACTGATTACCTGACTGAAGCTCAAGTTAGTTGCTGTTGCTTAAATCCACATCTTCAGCACATTGCATTTGGAGGTGAAGATGGAGCCGTTGAGGTATTCAATTCTAGTCTTCAGAGCTGTTCAGTAGGGCTATTTATTTAAAATTAGTTAAATACTTACCATTGGACACTTACGTACTAAACAGATACCTCTGCACTCTATTAGTCATTGTTCCACTAGACTAAAAATCTTCTCCAGTTTGTTGTATATTTTTCAGATTGCCTTCACTACTGTTTCGTAGGCTTTTTGTCTTCCTTATTCTCTGCCATAGTTTTTTGGCTATTCTACATCAGTATTCTGTATCAAACACTGCCGGAGATTTATAAAGCTGTACCAAAAGCGTATTTTCCCTCTTCTCCTTGGAAGCTCAGCTGTGTGGGGTGTAAGCCCTTCCCGCTTGGGTGGTGATGCGGCTTTGGAGGTACCAGGGCGCAGCCACCTTTGCTTGCCTGTTTGGTGTTAGGAGTCTCCTTGCTCACCACCTGAAATCTTTAACTTCCCTAATGAGACCAAATACGTAGAAATAGGGTTGGGTGGAAAGACAAAAAAGATGGTATAGTAAAAATCATTTTAGATGAAAATACTGTCTTTATCATAAATAAAATTTGTCACAAGTTGCCGTTTTCTGTAGCTATATAATAATTTTTAAAGAATATCAGCTTTTTCTCACTCGTCTTTGGGAATTATTTCTTCATTTATGAATTCTGGCACCAGCCACATTTCTTTCACCTTGGACTTATTTTGCCTAAGGAGCTCTCTAGTCCATATTGCCCCACAAACAGGAAACGGCATGCTTATACTCAGAATGAAGACGGAAGTGACGTCAGGGCTGTTACGTATTTCCCATAGCCTCTGTGGCATGGATTCAGAGTTAAGGCTCTGGTTTTCTTCTTTATTCTGAAAACTATTAATTGTTATGAGGGGAACTATTCTGAGAAAGTGTGTTATGGCTGCCGGCTCGTAAGGCACGGTGTCTCATCTTTCAGGTTGTTGTGCATTACTGATTCTGACAGGGTCCTCACTTCCCTTTTCCTGTTTATCTTGCTGCCAAGCCAGCACCACATTTTTTTAACCACCCAAGTATCTTGAGACAAGTCTTCCAGGAAGTTTAAAAATATAATATAAAACACACATGCTTTATCCACATCCTTGATTTCCTCAGAGTCATCAGATAATATAAATGAGAAGTGAATCGTGTATTGCCAATACCTGCCTATTTTTTAATGTATTTGAAACCTGTAAAATGGCAGTTTCATATGGCTCAACCTAGTATCATCAGATTGTAATAGCAGTTAGTGTTTTTAGCGTTCACTGTGCCGGATGTTCACATTGAGTTCTTGTAACATTCTGGATGTTAGATATTACTGTTCTTGTTTGCAGCTGTCCAAGCTGTTAATTTTCACAGCTTTCATCAGTGGCAGAGCCAGTATTCAAACCCAGGTCCTGAGGCTGTGTGGTCTGTCCTGCCTTCCCTGTAGGTCCTGTGAGGTTGTGTCTTTCTCACACAGGGAGGCTTCATTCCCTCTGCTTTCAGTTCCCTGTACTGTCTGAGGAGCCTCTTCTCCGACACGTTGGTCAGGTTTGCATTTCTGGCATGTTCTTTGCATTACAGCAGCTTCTTAGGCTTCTTTTGAGTACATTTTAATTTGAGCAGAGAAACCATATTTACTTTGGGCGGGTGTAAGTTCATTTGTAGGCACTTTGTTGCATCATCATGTTTCTCAGTGTCTAAATTTCTGCCCGTGGCGTGTAGTCTCATGATGCCTGAAGCGCTGCGATTCGCCGTCCCACGGCCTTGTCAGAGCTTCTTTTCTCTGCCTGTCTCCCTCGTCATCCATGGTGTTTTATGAAGAGCTTGCTTTGCTCCAGCCAGGACTTTTCCTGTCTTCTTTCTCATCATTTTAAATACCATTTTCTTTTGGAGACTGAGCCCAGACTGCCACTTGTTTGATGAATTGGGTAGTTGTGTAATCAGAGGATTACTGGTCCCTCCTGCCATCTGGGCATTTTAGCAAGTGCTTGATTTGTGTGTGTGTGTGTGTGTGTGTGTGTGTGTGTGTGTGTGTGTTTCATTTGTGTGGGCTTCGTTGTTTTTGTTTTTGTTTTGTCTTTTTGAGACAGGGTCTCACTTGGCTGTTCATGCTGGCCCTGAACTCACTTTGTAGCCCTGGCTGGCCTCAAACTTGCAGCAGTCCTCCTGCCTCAGCCTCCTGAGTCCTGGGACTATAGGCATGTCCCACTATACTCGGCTCATTTGTGTGTTTTTAGTTAAACGGAAAGCATTGTGAGATGGAAATGCTGTACCTTTCTTTAGTCTTAAGTTCAGTTTAATATCTTTGTGGTGCAGTGCCTGGTTTGCTTAATCTCTTTGAATTAATTTCTTGTGTTTTTGTGTTTGGAAGATTTTAGAACTTCTCAACAACAAAGTCTTCCAGTCCAGGATTGGGCACAAGAAGGCCGTACGACACATCCAGTTCTCAGCTGATGGCAAAACTCTTATTTCCAGTTCTGATGATTCTGCAATTCAGGTGAGAGAGCAAATGAACAGAAAATAACAGGAGAACGCTGCTCCAGCAAAGGAGCACATGCACTGCCCCTAAAGTCTGTTGTGCATTTTAAACATACTACTTTGGTTCTCGATTCAGATTATGCTCATGGGCCTAGATGAAAATCCTTTGTTTTATATTTTTGGGAGTGGCAGGGAGTTTGACTTAAAGCCCTCTACCAAGGTTGTTTTGAAAATCAAGTATTCATTTGAATTCTCCTGCCTGTCTTGGTACAGTGTTTACTAATAGATACACATTTTTGCCACATTAAGCACATTTATGTGCTGCTTCTTTTTTCTTTACATTAGTATAATCCAATTAAAATAATTTCATCCTTTTGAGAATAATATTTATTGCAGGGATGAATTCTATAAAGAACAGTTTGCCATGGCGAAGGACTATGACTGTGGAGGCCTTAAGCTCACTGTGCATTCCTTTTAACTTTCCCTGCTTTTACTGAAGTTGCACTGCACACGCTTTCAAAACCCGAACAGCACTGCAGGGCGGATTAGGGCACATTGGCCTCCACCGCCTTTGTCATTCCTCAGAAGCACCAAGTACTCCCCTTCTGCCCCAGGTGACACGTTTACAGTGTTGTTCCTGACTTTCCCTGTTACCGGCTGACTTCCCTGTAGTGAGATGAGGGTTTAGCTTCTTTCCTCAACCTCTCACGACTACAACACATTTGTGCACACATGCATCTGTGCCACTTTCCATCCCTACCACCCTAACACAGTTGTTTTGACCCTTAATAGCACTGCTACAGCTAAGTCCATTTTGTGTGCTAAGGTACTATGAACACATCTTCTGCTTTGTGCAGTTTAGAAAAATTCATCCTTTGGCTAAGTTTAATTGGAAATTATTTTACCCTCAGAATTAAGATGTGTTATGTACATGTACCAACTCCTCATAATGGCCATAATTATTATGTCCTGCAAACATGTACTAATCAAAAAAAAATTTAAAGGGAATTATTTCACTATGAAACTTTGAAATCGTGCTTCATTTTCATCCAAGTTCCAAGTCTGAATCCATTCTGCTTTGTTTTTTTTTTTTTGAGACAAGGTCTCACTATGTAGTTCAGGCTGTCCTTGAACTTGCTGCCATCCTCCTACCTCAGCCTCCTGAGTGCTGGGATTACTGGCTTTCACCAGTGGGCCTGGCTCTATTCTGCTTTCTAATTAATCTTTTTCTCTGGAAGCTTTTAAGATCTTCTCTTTGTCTCCAGAATTTTGAAACTTCCTGATCTTGTGCCTTGGTTGTTTTCATCTATCATTTTGTATACTTTGTATCTCTTTTTAATTGGAAACCTAGAGTTTTCAGTTTGGGAAAATTTAATTATTTCTTTGAGTTATTTTTGGTTCAATCTGCTGTCTCTTTCTGTAGCACCTCTTATTCAGAGATGTCCGTTCTTGGACTGATCATCTAGCTTTCTTTCTCTATGTTTCAGTTTTTCTGTTGTGCTCTATTTCCTAGGAACTTCTCTCAGTTGTACCCTCCAACCTTTTGTTGAGTTTTTCATTTACACCATTACATTTTTAATGCCCATAAGACCATTACTATTGTTTATTCCTTTTTTTTTTTTTTTTTTGGTACCCTGAATCGAACTCAGGACCTTGCACTTGCCAGGCAAGCACTTTTGCAGCTGAGCTATATCCCCAGCCCTGTTTATTCCTTTTGAAGAACATTATATTTTTGTTTTATAGATAGAATATCTTTTCTTATCCCTAGGAGACACATATCCTCTTATACATAGACATACAAAATATATATAGAAAAAATATACAAATATGTGCAGTTTACACAAAGCACAAATATAGATTACATAATATCTACATGTAACTTATACACAGATATGTATAATTCACCCCTCACCCCCCGTCCCTAGCCATGCTGTTTTTCGTTTTTGGTCATTTTGCCTCTTGTTTTAAAGCCCTCCCCAGCCATGGAGCGCTCCTTGGCTCCCAGAGATGGGTGTACACAGGCTGACTGGAAGCTCTGTGTGCTGACTGAGATACTCTCTGCAAGGTTTGTCCTTAGATTCCTGGCAAGGGCTCTTCTGGCCTCGTCCTGGCAGGTAAACCTGCCTCAGGACGCGGCGGGTGGGGGTGGCAAGAGAACTAGGTCTCCGCATTCACCCGTTCCCTGTTCTCACAACTGGTTCTACCCTCAGTTGTGCAGGCCCTTTCTGCAGCACCTCTTATTCCACAGAGGGGCCTCTGGCACAGTCCAGCTGAGCAGGACGAGGCCGGTAGCGGCAAAAGACAGACGAGCCCCAATAAGAAGGAGGGGAAGGAAGAAGTACAGGGTCGCCTAGGAACAGTGACGTGTTTTCAGTACTTCATGAGAACCTCCTATAACCCAAGATTTTAATTTTCTTTTCTTTTCTGTGGGAGCGTTATTGTGCAATTAATGCTTTTTTTTTTTTTCATAGTAACTTGGGGATTCAGCAGTGATTTTTTTTTAACAGTTCAAAAAAACAAGAATTTCCTGAACTCTTTGGCTGAGTGGGAAGCCCAGCATTTCTAGCTTCAGCTCTTCGGCAACTTTTCTTGTTCTCATGAAGTATTGAAAATACATCATGGTTCCTAGGCAACCTTGTACTCCTTCCTTCCCCTCACCTTTACTGGGGCTCGTCAGTCTTTTGCCGCTGCCGGCCTCGTGCTGCTCAGTTGGACTGTGCCAGAGGCCCCTCTGTGAGGGCTGTCCTCTCGGATTCCGAGTCACGGCAGGCAGGGGCTGCGTGCGCACCGGGCCTGCTCTGCACTCCGCTTCTGCCGCGCATTTCCTAGTCGCTGCCGCCCGGCTGCTTTGGGATCCTCTGAGTCTTCCAGGTAGATGCTGTTGCCGCAGCTCCCCTCTGACTGTGTTTGGGGTTTGTGAGGAGACGCACTGACCAGGCTCTCGTTAATGGTTTTGCACAGATGCTGTCTGTATGTTTTTTGTTGACTTAGTAGCTTTGTCTGTTTCTGATGGAAGGCTTCAGGGAGACCTAAAAGCATGGCTGCTCCTTTGCTGTCTTCCCCGAATCCGTATACTTCTGTTCTTGGCCCCACTCTCACCCCGCCTTTGGCTATCCCTACTGCCTCCAGTTTGTGGCGTTTCGGGAGTTCAACAACACTGGTGTCAGTGTTGTTGCTTTCGGTTTTCTCTGATGCTTTTACCGTTTGTTTCCTTGGATCTGCAGTTGGTTACCCTCCTGCTCTCCAGCCTTTAGTACTTTGTTACCCCCTCTCCCATCCTCTTGGCCTGGCCATGTGAGTAGGGCTTTAGGAAGGAAGGAGACGAATGTCTGTGTTCTGTGGCGGTTACTGCATTATTTTGTGTATAAATTTCTTATGGTGGCAATATTTAACCGAAGTATTCAAGACTGTGTTGGAAAAGGTGATCCTTTTATGTTACAGCTTTGTGAGCTCTGTGAAGGTGTAGGATTAGAGAGAAATCTGCCTTCAGTACAGGCTCGTTTTTACTGTAGGCTCACAGGACGCTCCTTTATTAGCTGTGAGTCTCAGCGTAGTCACATTTCTTCCTCTCCAGATGTCTTTGAAATGAATAAAGTCCAGCTGTAGCTGATGGCCTCTGTTGAGACTTTGGTGCTCTGCAGTCTTTCTTATCAGAAGTTCATAAGGGTTTATGACCTGCTTAAAGATTTCAGGTAGTCTCAGCCAGAGGGAGAAATAACTTTCTAGAAATGTTTTTAAAAAGGAGTTAGATTATACTTAGAAATACAAGTTGTGTTTCATCTTCTTTTTCTGTTCTGTTTAAAATACTTTTTATATTTACAGTCTTTTAATGAATATACATTCATGTAACAAAACTCTTGGTAGGTATTTTCAAGAAATAGCTGGTTCCTTATTTAGTTGTTTTAATGATTTAGTAAATGACTAAATAATGGAGGTTTGTCTTGATCATTTTGTACCTCAGTACCTGGATTGTAATAGGGGTAGAGTAAGTCTCTGTCAATCTGAAGTTACTGTTAAAATGTGGAGAATAAACTCACCTGGTGAATTGGACTCAATTTCTATGCACTGTAATTGAATTCTTGTAATATAAGATTGTATTGGTTCTTAGCTGGGTGTGGTGGCGCATACCTATAATCCCAGTTACTTAGGAGGCTGAGGCAGAATGATTCCAAGTTCAAGACCAGCCTGGGCAACTGAGCAAAGCCCTGACTCAAAGAAAATAAAGACAGAAGGGCTATAGCTCAGTGGTGGAGTGCTCCTGGGTTCCATCACTAATACTGCAAAAGGAAAAATTCTGTGTATGTACTTACAGAATTTTAGCTAATGGTAGACTTCTGCAAACCTGACTATAGAATTGACTAATGGTGGAAGTTCAGCTGTTCTGTCAGAGTGATTCAGTTAGCACAGCATATTTGAGTTCAACATGAAAGTGTCCACGTCATCATTGCCTTGTCAGGAAGCTTCTGCAACAGAAGCTGCAAGGCTGTTCTTAATCTACCCTCAGCTTTGCCGGATTCTGTGTTGCAGCCGTGCCGGAAGGTGCTCTGGCTGCTTGGTGGGGAGGCAGCAGGAAGGGCCTCAGGCCATGGATGAGGACTGAGGCTCGGAGTGTTGGTCACCAGGAAGTGTCTTAGGAGTAGCTGCTGACCCTTTAGAAAGGGGAAGGAGGGAGCCAGGAACCCTCGAGGACACGGTCCATGGTGTTCTGTGCTTAGTCACCAGGAACCCCTCCTCTCTCGTGTGATTTGAGGAGCTGGAAAGCCTGCCCCCCACCCCCACAGTGTCTCACTGGGTTTATAAAATACTGGTTTGTAGTCATTCTTGTTAAAACATACTCTCATTTCCAGCTTTTCGGCTAGAGTCCCTCTGTGTACACACACAGTACCCTGCTCCTTAACCCTGCTTTGCAGCAAGCGCCTGAGCTGGAAGCTCGGAGAGACCTGGAAGCCAGGGCTCAGGGGGAGGGTGGCTGCTAAATGTGGTAGAGGAAGGAGTAAAGAAGGGGAATAACAGTTTTACTTAGGCCTGATGGGAGAAGGCTTTAAGACATTTTTTCTGTTTAACCTTTGCCAGTCAGAAACTAGACTGGGTGTTAGTATGCATGCTTGTGCTGGGGCCCGAGTTCTCCTTGTCTTTTCCTTCCTTTCGAGTCTGCCAGATCGCACGCTCCCTCGGTGGCCCTCTGGGCTGTTTCTTTACCTTCCCAGCCTTCTCCCTTTGTTCCTGCTGCTTGTGCTGTGCTGTGGCTGTGTTGATCCATGAGGAGGTCCCTATGCTGTCTCACACAGTCGTCCTTCTGGACTTAGGGGCTGCCAGCCTTCATTCCTTGTTTGAAAGCCTCTCTCAAGCTGGACGCGGTGGTACCTTGCTGTAAGCCTAGCCCTCTGGGAGGTTCAGGCAAGAGGATTGCAAATTTGAGCCCAACCCTGTCGCAGGCTGGGGAAGTAGCCCTTCTCAGTTTGTGAATCATACTGCAGTCTTTTCCTTTAGCCTCCCTTTAACACAGGTTTCCACCAGATCTCTAAGAAATTGCTTGAGTTCCACAGAATTTATGTCTCTTATCATTAGTAGCTTCCATGTAGGATTCTCTTTTGAATGTTTCATTTTATTTTTCTAGATTCTTAGTTTTCTTAATGGTAGATCCTTGTTTGATTTACATTTGACTCACATATAAGTGCTAACCAAACATTTGTTGTATAAATTAATTTGAAGTCAAGAATTAACAGGGCTATAAATACAGTTGCTTTGATTTAGCCGGAAAGGATGTCTGCACATGGATGTTCACTGATGTCCCTCAGATGTGCTGGGTGTCTATTTTGTGCAAGTGACTATTAGGTTAACAACCCTTCGTTATTGTGGGCGGAGCAGGCCTGCAGTCTCCCAAACAAGTGGATGGTGAAGGATTAAATAAATGAGACAATTAAAAGGATTTTAGGGCTCCAGGAGGGTTCAACCCTTTCACAGAATTTAAGTTTCTCTGGGGTAATACCAAGACTTCCCTGAGTAGCCCATCTTCATTAGGTTTCAAAGAAAGGAGGGGGAATACTGAAGAAAATGCAGGAATCTGGGCAGGACTTTGAGCGCTTCTCCAAGTAATACTTTATGTTAATTCGGGAGAACTGTGTTATCTCCAGGAAGGTCTTCACCACAGGAGTGAGATGTCTGCCGCTGCAGTCTCCTTCTGGTTAATTGAGATTGGAGCCAGAAGTCCTCAGCTATGAGCTTGTCTTTTCCTTTGAGGCACCCCAACTTCACAGGCCAATACAGGCCTCAGTGGGGACCAGTGACTCATAGAAGTTCACTTACTATGAGTCAGCTGCCCATCTCCGGACAAGGAACCCAAGCTTCCGACAACTCACAAGTAAACCCAGAAAGCCAATTGGTTAATATTAAATCCTGCCCAGAGCTGCTTCATAGTGGTCTCCATTGGGTGACTGGGACTGTTGTTTCAATTCCTGTTTGTTTCTTTGCACCTGAGGACTTACTCTTGAAGTACCCTGTGAAAAATAATGCCCTATTCCTCCTCTGTCGGTTGAAGGATTGCCTCTGGACAGTGATGGCAAACCGTTTAGAGCTTTCTGTGTGGCCATAGGTTTGCTGCCCCTGCCTTAGGGATAGCTAAAACCTCTGAAGCTTGGAAATTCTATGGTCTTCTTTGGTCAGCTGAGCTTCCTGGGCCATAGGGCCAGCTTTAGGGGCACTGGAACCCAGAGTCTTGCCCAGCTTGTAGGTTTAGAAATAGGGATAATTTTCTCTGGAAAATTTAATCAGATGGTGAGCTAACTGGCATATTGTGGCTTTTTTCTGTCTTCTGGTATAATTAACTATTCTCCAAGCAACTGATGAAAACAAATTTTATTTAGGAGGAAAAGCATTTTATTTTGTCCCTACTCAAGTTAATTAACCCCAGATTTTCTCATAGAATATGGGCACCATATTCCTTGTTACTCTTTTCTGTTCAAATGCTATACGGATACAATATAGAGTACACACCTTCTGACCCGCTCCAGGGATGTTATTAGAGGTGCTAACAGACTTCTGTCTTTCATGTTCAGGTATGGAATTGGCAGTCAGAGGAATGTGTCCTTCTCCGAGCCCATCAGGAAACAGTGACAGACTTTAGGCTCCTAGAAAATTCAAGATTGCTTTCTTGGTCATTTGATGGAACAGTGAAGGTAATTTAGATCTCAGGATTAAAAAAAATCCTGATATTTCAATGATTATATTATGAGACCCAAAAGCATTATGTGTTAAGTAATTAACATTAAAGTTTTTCTTATGTCTGCTTCTGTGCACCGTGGTGCCTGTATCTTCCAGCATTTTTATGAAAAGATACTTAAAGAGGTCAGAGCTGCCAGTGTGCTGAACTCTTGTTTCATAGATTTGTCTTGTGGGTAATTGTGCTTCTCAATACACATGTTTTTGTGTCAAATTCTACGTTAGTTTTTTTGTTTTTGTTTTTAGGTATGGAACATTATTACTGGAAAAATAGAAAAAGATTTTGTCTGTCACCAGGGCACGGTGCTTTCTTGTGCTATTTCTTCTGATGCTACCAAGTTTTCATCTACCTCTGCCGATAAGACTGCAAAGGTAAGGCAGGCAGTAGGTTTGCGTGTTCGTGGGTAACGCTTCAGCACTGGTTATGTAGTACGAGCGCCAACAGGACGTCTCGTGCTTCAGGACCGCGTAGTGGCCGACCTCCAACAGCTCTCGCCATGCGGAGGCCCTGTGCTCTTGTTCCCTCTTCACACCGGGGTGCCATTGTCTGAGTTGCAGAGGTGCAGAAATTGGAGCCGGAGACCTTAGGTGGACATGTTTTCCTAGGTCACAGGAACTGGTAGAGAGTGGAGCCAGGGCCTGGGCACACATTGGCCTCACCGTGCAGATGTTACCTGACTGCATGTGCTGCCGTCTCAAGTCTGAATAGAAGCTGTGACGTTGGCCTTTGGGTTGGGTTTAACTCGAGTAATTAGAGGGAAACTCAGAAAAATAAACCAGGCTGCGCCCTGGATCTCGGGCAGCCGGTGGGAGTGCGCAGGCCCAGGCGTGAGGACTTCCCATGGTGGCGGCTGAGCAGAACTCCAGGCAGAGTTTGCGGACGCTTCTGTGGAGTGGAGTAGAGCCGCCTTTCCTAAAGCATCTCCGTTGCCTTCCAGATTTGGAGTTTTGAGCTCCCTTCCCCTCTTCATGAACTGAAGGGCCACAAGGGCTGCGTGCGCTGCTCTGCCTTCTCTGAGGACGGCTCGCTGCTGGCGACTGGAGACGACAACGGAGAAGTCAGGGTAGGGTGTCACTGACCCCAGAGCGCTGCTCCTCCTGCCGCAGGGGCCGGCACTGTGACCCCGTGGGGAAGCGGAGGCCCTGGGGACCCCGGGGGTGGGGTGGGGTGGGATGTCCGTTGTGTTTCTTGTGCACATTGTGTCACAGCTGCCCTCCTCTGCAGGAAGGATCCATTTTAGGGTTAGACCGAGCATTCCCCACATACCCGAGGGGGCAAATGCCCTACTTATTTGTAGTTGGTTCTCTGCTGTTAGGCTGAGAATGATTCATCCTCATTTTTGGACTCAGATCAAAAGTTGTTTTTAGTGGCCGAATTTGAAGAAAGTAATTTTGTAAATCATTGTCTGAGTTGCAAATGAATTGCAGTTTTCACTGCGTACAGAAAGGCTCTCTTAGCGCTCCAGCCGGTAGTCAGCACTTACAGCGCAGTCTGCCCTGCTCCTCTGGACTTCACTCGGCAGTGAAACGGGGCAGACGCCGTCTCCAGCGCCCGGCTGGGGTTGAAGGCTCCTCGGTGGGGCCGAATCTGCACGGTAGGCCAGTTTTTATCCCCCATGGTGCTTAAGATACACATACGAGTGGTGCCAGTTTTATTTGGAAAACAATCTTTCTGGAACACACCGTGTTTTCTGCCTGTCAGTGGGAATATTGTACGGTATGGAAAGCATTGCACGCTGAAAGATGAGAAATCATGGAGAAGCCTTTAGTCAGCTTGCTGGTGCCACAGCAGTTGCACAGATACTGGAAAAATTTGGGCGTTGGGATGGCTGCTTTGGTAACCAGTTTAAATGAGGAGGGTTTTCTTTCTCCTTTTTGCTTTGTTCTGTTTAACAAGGCAGATTTAAAGCTCAAAGAATAGATGTGTAACCCAGATGAACAGGACAGTGTAGGATTTATAGGAATGGGGTCCAGTCAGAAAGGCTGTCCAGGAAAAGTAAGCCTCTCCTGCTTGGGGGCGAAGGAACTGACCTGCACTCGCCCGCTCACAGAAATGCCCTGGTAGCTGGCGTGGCAGGGCTACTGTGACAGCATTCATTTCACTTCAGGTTCTTATCTTTGCCTGAAAGGGCTCCTTTACCAGTTATGAGGCAGTGTTTCATTTTTCAGAAACCCTTAGAGGAAAAAAACTCCCTCAAAACATTTTTTTGGTGGATTTTTTTTTTTTTTAGGGAAAATGTTTTCAACTTGATTATTTAGACTGTCAGAAAGCTGTTGGGTTTGGGTGTGTATATGTTATGTCTAGGGGCCTTATCGAATTTCTTTCTGGGTTTTCTCCTTCATTTCTCTTGGATTTCTAGGGACACATTTGCAAATGATGGATTTAATTATTTCCTTTGGCTATGTATATTTCTTTTTCTTATTGTGCATTTCACTGCTTGTATATTGTCATTAGAATAAAAGAACATATTAACATCTGTAAATGATTGGGTTAAGAGTCTAGTAAAATAATGGTTGAATATATATTTAGAACCTTAGCAAGACTTACATACTTTAGATGTTTAAAGTACGTTTGTCAACATTTTTAGTGTTTGCTCTTGGACTGACTTTTTTGTCATCTTACTTCATTTTTGAGTGAAATATTTTATGTGGCTTCTTGCTATTCCTTGCTCTTCCTCCCCTCATTCCTTTTCCCTTCCCTTATCCTGGGGATTGAACCTAAGACCTCACACATGGTAAACTCACACTGTACCACTGGCTACACCGTAAGCCCCTCTTTTAATTAAAGGGCTTGAATTGGTATTCTAATCAATCACTTCGATGTTTTAGAAGTTTTGATTTGTTTTGTTTTGAGACAGGTCCTTGCTATGGAAATCAGGCTGTCCTTGAACTATTATGTAGCTCAGGCTGGCCTTGAACTCATGGCAATCCTCCTGCCTCAGCCTCCTGAGCACTGGGATTAGAGGCATGCACCTCTAGTGCTTTTTTTTAAAGCAGCATTTCCAAGTAGATCTCAGACGATGCATAGGTATGCTTTAAAGTGAGAGAAGCTTCTTAGTAACCCTGTTAATGGATTGTGTGTCGTGTTTACACAGATATGGAGTGTATCAGACGGGGAGCTTCTTCACTTGTGTGCTCCATTTTCGGTAGAGGAAGGAGCTGCGACCCACGCCGGCTGGGTGACTGACCTTTGCTTTTCTCCAGACAGCAAAATGCTTGTCTCTGCTGGTGGGTATCTTAAGGTAAGAGCTCTCAAGGCCTGGAAAGAAAAGAAAAGCCTCTGCCGTACTTCGGCGCTGTTTCCGCTTGTCTTTCGCAGTCGGGCTCCCTCCCGCTCAGCACAGTGAGAACGCCCGTGCTGCATTCCGTTTCGCAGAGGTGAGACCGAGGTCTGCGAGGCCCAGGGCTTGTTAGGAATGTTCTCAGTCCCCTGAGTTCCTGCCACCCGCTACCCACCTAGACGACCTCGAGGCCAGCGTGTGGGACGTTTGGCTGGTTTCCGAGTCACTCAGTGTTACATACTGTGCTTGAAAGTCTGTACGTATTTGTGAACCTTCCCTTCAGTAAGAGCAGCGGCAGCTTACTGTTGTGTAGTTCATAACATGCTTCACTGGCTAAATTTTTGAAGCTCAGATTTTACTATCTTTGGGTTACAGATGAGGAAACTGATTTGCATAGAGGCTCTGACTTTCCTGAGGTTGCATAATTAGTAAGTGGGAGGACCAGGACTCTCCCTGGATCCTGGGGCCTCGGCCTCAGTTTCCCCTGGCGAGTTGGCTGCTGCAGGCTTAACTGGTCTAGTGCCTGCATAGGCCAAGGCGGGGCACGTTTCGTGCGGCAGCTTCGTACCCGGACGTTGGGGAGATGCGTCAGCACTTCCGGGTGCTGAGACGCTGCTGTGGGGTGCACACAGGGTTCCCGTCTTGTTCCTGTCCATCGGGAGGCGGGTGGCGACAGGAGCAGCTGAAGCATGGGAGGGTCTGGAACGCGTTCGCACAGGGTGGCAGGGCAGGAGAGACCAGGCCTGCCTGCCGGTAAGAGTCTGCGTCCTGCAGTGAGTCCTGCAGTGAGTCCTGAAGAGCCTCTCACTGGTAGAAGAGCAGGCGATGAAAGTCGGGTTGCACTGGCCGCCTGGATGTTGTACCAGCCTGTTTGTGTAAGTTAGCTCCTGTAAGATGCTGTCTCTTACTAAAAGCAGTGACGTTTATGAGATTCTGATTAACTGGCCACACAGTGTAGAGTTTCAGAATAGGTGAATAAAGCATTGGTTATAGGGACCCAGGTAATTATGATTCTACCGAGCCTGAAAAAGATGAGTTGCGGGAGTTTTTGGCTTTATGAAAGAATGTCTGTCAGGATTCTGCCACATTTTGCGCTGGATACGATTCTGTTGATGTTGCACGCCTCTCGCACGCCTCCTTTTCCAGGGGGGAGGAGAGCTGCTGGATTTGGAAGGCAGAAACTGTCCTACCTCTGCCGATGGGGGCAGGTGAGGTCCTGAGGAGCCCTAACGTTAGGGCCCTGTGCCTTGAGGGTCCCTTGTCCTCCCTTAGCGCAGAGGCAGACCTGCCTCTTTGCTGGCTCTGTGGTGCTGCTGAGAGGAGAGGCCTTGCTGCCTTGTGTTGGGCGCTGGCGGTCCTCAGCTGCATCGGCTCCTAGACGCCATCTCACTCCATTCCCTGGGCCCCTAGAACACTGCCACATAATCGTGAGTCTGCACTTTAAGATGGTGTAAAGAGCAGTGACCAGATTTGCACAGCTCCAGGAGGACTTGAAGTGAGGCCGTGGCACAGCCTTCAGACTGCGGAAGGTTATGTCTCACAGCTGAAAGCAGTGACAGTCTGTATGTTTAGTTGGGATATTTAAGTGACGATCAGGCTGTATTAGCCTTCTGGTTTGATTACTAGCATGGTTAAACTAATTACGTTATAGCCCAGCCAGCATCCACCCAGAATGTTAATGAGACTAACCAAAGCACAGAGCAAATTCAAAGTAAAAGGAACAGCAGCTGTATTGGCCAAGGAATTAGGCTTCTTGAGTCTGTTTACTTTAGAGTCCAGACTGTATTTCCTGTAAGGTAAAGTGGATATCAAAGAGCTAAAAAGTTCTTAACTTTCAAAATTGTTCCTACTAAGTGTAAAATAGTACAATTTAGGTTTTATGAGAGTTTGCTGGAGCACGTACTGTTAGCATGACGAGGAGTTCACGTTGATTCTGCCCCCGAAGGCAGAAGCTGATCTGAAGTGTGGTGATGAGTGAAGGCGAGGCAGGACTTAGAGGCAGCAATGCCCTGCACACCCAGGACAGACCGCCTGAGTTCAAAGCTGGCTCTGCCACTCATTAACTTTGTGACCTTGCACAAGAGTTCTTCACCTCTCCCTGCCTGAGTTTTCTCATCTGTAAAATGGGGTAATGAGACTAGCTTATTACAGAGATCTCCTGTAAACCCTTCAGCCCCACACCCACACAGCTTGCTCTGCTGTCAACCGCCTCCACCAGAGATGGACGTTTGTGACAGCTCTGGACCTGCCTGGAACACGTCCCACCCAGTGTCCACAGTCTGCCTCGGCTTTCCTCCTCGGAGTTGTACACTGTGTGGGTTTGGACCGATCATTGATATTTCCCATTACAGCGTCCGCTCGTACCTCACTGCCCTAAACATCCTCCATACTAGCCGCTCCTGTATATCTTGTTTGTTTTAAAGTCCTTATGAAACTGTGGCTGGTGTAGAGTGCAGGTAGAGTGGTCTGTGTTTATAGCAGCTGGGAGAGGAGAGCCGCTGGACTCGGAATCCAGGAACTGTGCTACCTCTGCCACCTGACAGCAGCGTCCTCCAGCTCCTGGGTTCCGTTTCCTCTCTCACAGCCCGTTTCCTTACTTGTATGGCGGGCGTTTGGACTGGGAGAGGAGGTGGAAGAGCTGGCGTCCCTGGGCACTGGTGCATCTTCTGCAGGCGCGTGTGTCCTCCCACTCGGGTGACTCTGGTATTTTCCAGAGTGGACTTGCAGTTGTGGGGAGCCCCAGGTTGGTGCAGGCTGCTTCGCTGGGGTTTGCTGAAGCCCCTGGAATCCTTTGATCCGTTAACCGTGAACGAGCATGAGCCTGGAAACGGTCCTGGGCCCTCAAATCGGTTGGGGTGAAAGTGAAGGTTCAGGGGCGAGAACATTCTGTCCTGCAGCCCATTCAGAGCTCTGGGCATCTGTCAGGAGAGTGCATCTGCGAGAGCTGGGCGGGGAGCTGACGGGCAGAGGGTCTGGCTGCAGCATGAACCGACAGCAGCGTGGCCGCCGTCTTACAGGATTCTCATTTCTCTCGAACAGTGGTGGAATGTCATCACAGGGGAGTCTGCGCAGACCTTCTACACCAACGGAACCAATCTTAAGAAAATACACGTGTCCCCTGACTTCAAAACATACGTGACTGTTGATAATCTTGGTATTTTATATATTTTACAGATTTTAGAGTAAAGAGGTTAAACATGAATTCTTTTTAATTTTGAAGTTGGAAGAAAATGACAATGAAATTCTTAACCAACGTTTTGTAAAGCTGTGAATTGTTGTGCAGTGTTGTATTCATTACAGAAACATTTGTGGTTGGATGAATGATAATAATGTAGCTTTTCCCCAAATGAGCACCTTTAATCTTATTTTTCATAATCATCATCATTCTTAATAATTCGTCCTTAAGATGCAGATGAAAGTGTAAATATGTACCCTGTTTTACTGTTGGTAACATTCTCTTGGTGCATTCAAATTGCTTGACAAATCAGTGCGAATAATTTGGAGGACCCTGTACTTTAATGCCGCCATTACGCAGGCTGCGCCTCAGGGCGACTGTGGCCTGCGCTCGGAAGCGCAGGGAGCGCAGGGCTGTGAAGTGCCCCCAGTACAATCTTGAGCTGATTCGCACTCTTTAAGTTTGCTTTAAAACGCTGTGTCTGCGTGTACAGCGTGCAGCGTTTCCTTGCATTCACCGAATGAGTGAGTGCTGGGTTGCGGCAGTTCCACAGCGCAAACATGGTGTGGCGCGAGATGCCCTGCTCCGCCTTTCCTCACCGTGGCTGGTGGCAGGCAGCCATGCCACAGCTGGACGCTGGTCGTCAGTGTTTGGGTCGGGCGCTAGCCTGCCCTCTGACTTTTTATTTCTTGTTTGTGTCATAACCCTCACCTTTTCTTTTTAAAGCAGTTGCTGTGTGGTTAAATGTTAGTAAATCAATAAATGGGGAAGGGCCAATTTTAATAAGTTTCAGTACTTTCCTAAGAAATGTGAAACAGACATGAGTTTCTTCTAATTCCATTTACTTTTACGTAGATGGTATTGTCAGTGCTATTCTCTCAGTGAATTAGTGAATTTCAAGAGAATTATCTGTGATTTTCTATGCAGTCCCACAAGAGTCACTGTGACTCTTGGAGGACATCAGCTTTCACCTTTCAACTGCCTGTCTTCCTCCCTCTCTCCTCTCTCCCTTCCTTCACTTCTTCCCTAATTCACTCGAGTTTCTCCTCCTGCCTCTTCCCCCGAGGAAAGATAGCTTTTTGTGGAGCCAGGCTGCTGCTCTGTCACCCAGCCTGGCCTTGAGCTAGGCTCGAGGATTCTCCTGGCTCCCCTGCTGCTGGAGCGGCTGGGGGCGATCGCTTTCGATGTGTCAGAGCTCACAGGAAGCAATAACGGGCTGTTTTCTTACCTTCTGAGTAGGAAGCGTAAATCTAACATTTTCTCTGAAGTATGTCATTGAGGACAGTGGGGATAATAGATGTGGTATAATTATAAACATAATCAAATTTTAAAGACCTTTGTTTCTGCAGCAGGAACTAGTAAATCAAATGAGTATTGGTATTCATAGTAGATAAGCACTGCACCCGTTTCTGTTGCTGGTGCATTCAGAGCGTGCGGTGCTGGTAGGGAGAAGAGGCCATGCAGATGTACCTTCAGATTACAGGTCCTGTGTCACATTGGCAAGAACTGTAAATACGGTGAATAAAATCTTTTACATTATTAAGGAATCTTGTTTGTTTGTGATAGGTTAAAGGATTGGTTTATAGGCTTACTGTGATTTAAACAAACATAATAAGTAGAACTTTAATTTTATAAAAATAAATTTTATGTCTTCCTTAGAATATTCAAATCCTAACTTGACTTTTATATATTTAGGAGTGTATTGCCCGGAATATAAAACAGTACTTTTAGAATTAAAAGCTACTTGGCTGTTGAGTATAACAACACTGCCTTTTAAAAAATCTCGGTTAGCCTTTGTCTTAGAATGGAGGAATGGGAAGAAAGATGAAGGGAAATGAAGAAAGGAGACACCTGCAGCTCAAGGAGCTGGTCAGGAGGAGGCTTTTGTTCTGGACCTGGCAAGTGAACATTATCCCGCATTTTCTCTTTTTTTTCTACATTGGACTTTGTAAAAACGTTTTACATTGTATGTGTCTTACATGTTTGGAGAACTGTTTTGTATTTATCACTTACAGGATCATTTTTGTCTTGGAATACATTTTAAAATGTGAATTTTAAAAAAATAAAATTTCTGAAAGTTTCTGAGAAACATTCTTGGGTTGTCTCATCTCCTTGTTTTGATTGAAAGCCCGAAGTGGAAGGTTTAACCCGTCAGCCTTTCTGTCCGAATTTCCCCAGTGTCTCCGCGGTGTGCCTGTGAGGACTGCTGCCCGGTGCGGCGGGCGTGGAGAGAATCCAGTGAAAAGAAGGAATTCATTTACTCGTTCACTCGTACTTTTCTCTTAGGCATCCGATACATATTGAGATCTTCTGTGTACCTGGCATTGGGAAGGTACTGGGGATACAGGAGTTCGCAAAGCAAAGTCCTTCTTTACTGTAGAGCCGGGGGTCAGGGAGGTTGACAGAAAGTAAACAAGGAAAGTCTGTAGTGCTCGAGGTGGTACAAGTGCAGGGAGGGGGTTGCAGCTCCAGTCAGGGTGGGGATGGTGGTTCTGGGCGAGGTGTGCAGAGGTGAGGGACGGAGTGCACCCGTCTAGGGACTCTTCGACAGTGCAGACTCTCGAGCAGGAGCACTGTGGGTCCCGGACCGCCGGGGAGGCAGTGTGCTGGTCACGGGAGGGGCGGGCAGAGAGGACTTGGGGTGGCATTGGGCGCAGCCTTCTAAACTGCCGTAAGGACTTCAGTGCTGACTCGAGGTCAGGCGCTCAGGTGGCGGCAGAGTGGCCTGAACTGGCAGGGGGAGTCATCTGAGAGGGGGCAGGCCAGGGTGGACGCAGGGAGACCGGTGAGACCCTTTGGCAGGGATCCGGCAAAATGAAGACTAGGATGGATTCTGGGTGTACTTCGAAGATGACCTAAGGGGACTTGCTGGGGAAGTGGATGAAGGCTGTGAGGGGAGACCTTGCTGTGGCTTAGAAGTGCCCCCCAAAGCCCCTTGTGCTGAAAGCATGTCACCTGCCTGTGTGCCGGTGGAGGGGGTGGAAACTTTAGTAGGTGGAGCCTAGTGGAAGTTAGGTCACTGGGGACGTGCCCTGGAAGGGATTAGGACCCTGACCCCTTTTGCATCTTACCTGCCATGAGATAAAATAAACCAAGAGCCAAAATAAGCCTTCCCCCTCTGTAGTGGCCTTGCCTCAGGTATTTGCCATGGTGACGGCGTGCTTACTAACACAGGATGAGAGCAGTGCCAAGGTTTTGGCCTGAACATCTGGAAGAATAAGCAGAGCTTCCATCAGCTGGGATGGAGAAGACTGAACGGAGCAGGTTGGGCCTGGTGAGGTTGAGATGCCACTGGACATCCACTTGGGGGTGTTGGGTGGGTGTCAGAGAACAAGGTCTGGATTGCATGGGAGAAGGCCGTGGAGGTAGAAATCTGAGCTGGTGAATCCGTGAATGGAGGCTACTTAAAGGACCACAGGAAGTCAGCAGTGGCGTGGGTTGAGACAGAAAGGGCAAGGGCCCAAGGCTGAGTCCAAGCTGTGGGGTGAGGGGCCGGTACAGGTGCCAAACGGGACCAGCAAGTTAAGACGGTATCCTTAACTCCACGGCAGGTTCCCTGTCCGCTTGTCCACCCACCCTTGTCCCGTATGTCAGGGACACCCACCAGGACGCTGCCAGGCACTATTTTAAACAGCACACAAAGCAGTAAACATACATGGCTCAGTTTAGGGGTGGAGTGGGGGCAGGGTTAGTAAATCAAGATACCAGCAGCTGTCTTTGTAGAGTGAACATCAGTCCCATACAAAGTACTTACCTCATGGCTGGAGCCTGGGAAGTGCTCAGGGACCATTCGATGGTATCATTTGCCTCCCATCATCAACAGTTCCCCAGGTGCCATCCCTGCCCGTTCGTGCCCTTCTGCACGGTCTCTCCAAAATACTCATCTGCATCGTGTTAAAGTCCTCAGCTTCCGCATGAAACGCTGGGCCTGCCATGCGCCCGCTCGTTTCTGGGCTTTGCATGTGCAGTTCTCTCTGAATACTCTGTCCTGCTCCATGTTCATTTTTCCAGCTTCTTCCCTTTCACGTGTTCTTCGAGATGACCTGCAAGAGCTGAAGTTCTCCCCACCTCTGGGAACCCCCACTTTTCTCCCTCCTGGTTTCTGTAGCTCTGAACTGGAATTACTTGGTTCCCTCCTGGGACTCTAGCTGATCATTAGCTCTTTCGGAGCCAGGCCTTTCACATGGCACCTAACACAGCCTGACCTGCAGTTGCAGCCTCAGGAAACAGTTGTCTGGTTACTGAATTCCTGCACACCCGTGTGTACAAAGCACACTGTGTGTCCTCTCCACGAGGATGTCGCCAGGCTGTCCAGTTAAATGATAGCACATCACCAGTGTCTTCCTGTTTTACTTGGGCATTTTACTGTGAAACATTAAAGTAAAACTTTACTTGGTTAAAAGAGATTGGCTACCAAATTATAGGAAATGAATAAACATCTCTGGAGTGTTTAAGTCAGCAAGTTTGGCTGTCTGTTATCTGCAAACCTTTGCTTTTACAATTTACCTGCTGACCGTTAGGGAGAGAATGGTTTTGTAATAATGCCTAGTCTCTGAAGATTATCACTGGAGTAGGTTCCTTGCTCACAGGTCCTCCCCTTAGGACTATGGATGTGCTGTGCAGTCTTTAAGACACTAGAATTGGGTGATGAGGTTAGCCGTAGGATTGTTGTGTGTGTTCTCATGAAGGGGCCGCAAAATTGGATCAAAAGTGGACTCATCAGAGACCAGCCCTTTGGAGTCATTTGGCATCAGTGATGACTTCCTTCTGAGTCAGATGCTGCGAGGAGACAAAACGCTGGGAAATGTTCATTTCAATTATGGTGTGAGAAACTGAGTCGCTGGTGTTCACTGTAAGTGCATTTATGAGGTCAGGCCCTCAGAACTGGAAATACTGCTTATCCCATGGAAATGAATAGGAAATCTGCCTCTGTCTTTTCCCATCACTCAGGAGTGGAATACGTAACAAGTGTGCATCCGGGTCTCTATCTGGGGCAGTGGCTCTGAGCTGCTGCTCTGCCTGGAGAATGAAGACTCCCGCTCAGCGCCAGGTGGCTGCCTGAGGAGCTGGGCGAAGGTCTTATTCCTCAACCTCGTAGGTGCTGCCTGTCTATGCCAGGTGCTGCCTAACCCTCACTTTATCTTCACAGGAGTTGAGTAGATTTCTAGACCAGGCATTCCCAGTTTTTGGAGGAAGAAAAGTTTTTGCAGGTAACCAGTGGCAAAGCTGGGGCTGCAATCCACAACTTTTGAAAATGTTTTTATTTTTTATTTGAAAGGCCCTGACAGCTGGGCTGTACATGGAGTGTAAGAACTGAGAGTGGAGAACTCTGGGGTTTCGTGGTAGGTGAGGCCCAGTCTAGAGGTCACGAGGATTGGGTTTCAGTGGCTCGGGAGGACCGTCCCCTCGCTTATGTGATGACCTTGGAGATGTTCTAATTTCAGATTCACCTTTATTTAGCCTTGATTCCAAACCCTTCACTGTGGTGTGGACTGGGAGGAGGATCTCTCTCCTCCTCCCTTGATCCCTCTCTGCTTCCTGCCCACCACGCCATGAGCTGTTTCCCCTCTGCCATGCCATCCTCCCTCCTCCTCCCTTGAACTCTCTCTGTTTCCTGCCCACTACACCATGAACTATTTCTCCTCTGCCATGCCATCCTGCCTTGGAGCCTGCTGAGTATGGACTTGACACCTCTACAAATGTGAGCCAAAATAAAACTCTCCTCCTTAGCACTGTGGATGTCGGACATGGTGTCTCAGCGATGAGAAAGTAATTAAGACACACGTGATTCTCTTTATAAGTAATGCTATTTAGCCATGTAGAATCTCAGATAAAAGGCTTTGTTGAAACTCAGAAAGACATGATGCTCTGAAAGTTTCCAAACAAGTGATGCAGGAAACATGCCCAGCCCACAAGTGGGTTCTCTTGGGCCCACACTTATTTCTTAAACACCGAATTTCTTTGCAGCATGTCAAAGCCCAGCCATGTCACAAATGAACCCAGATTTCTTAGAAAATCTGCCAGCCCAGGTCTCCCTTCCTGCCTAGCAATGCTGAGCTGGAACCTATCAGCAGCTAGGTCACCTCTGCTTCCACCCACACAAGTGAGATGTGTGGCTCTGAAGGCGTCTGAGTTTGTAACCTCCGTGTACACCGCAGACCTCACCCCAGAAATGGCCTGTGGAATGGGATTCTTAAAGTTCCTACCTTCCTTCCTTCCTGCTCTTCTCTGACTCGACAGTTGACTCACTGGGATTTTCTTCTTTCAAAAATCTGTGCAGGCATTTTTGCGAACTGGAGATAAATCAGCCTCTCAAATGTCAGAAAACCCAAGGGAAGGTGGCTCTTCCTGGGGTTGGTGGGACTTCCCTCCCCACATGCCTGTTGCTTCCCCTGAGAGGCAGTGCAGGCTGCATCCTCACGGAGTGGCTGTAGGGGCGCTGAATTGTGTCACAGACAGCAGAGGACCGTTACACCGGGTACTGAGTGTGAGTTGCTTTGGACAGCATCGACTGCATGTGGGGAGCTGACTTGGGCGGTAAGAGATGACGCCGTCTCACCTTGGTCTCTCCGTGTGCAGTGTAAACATTTCCTAACCGTGGGGCTTCAGACTTGCATGCAGCTCCTAGATGCCACAGACATCTGTCATCTGTCCCCTGTGCTCCTCTGCTGCCAGAACCTCATAAGGCCCTGGATTAAACCTCACCTGCTGCAGCTGCTGCCTTCAGCTGTATGACCCCCCTTGAACCCCTGGAACCCTCTTGGAGGCAGGTGACCCCACGGGAGCTGAGAAATGGAGGGTCTGTTTCAGCCTGAGCATCCATCACTTAGAAAGTTAAATGCCCACGCAGCTTCGTGTGTGTCTGTATTAACCCTAACCCTTCACGCTAAGCTACATCTCTAGACCTTTTTAAAAAAATTCTTTTTGAGAGGTTCTTGCTAAGTCACTAAGTTGCCCAGGCTGGGCTTGAATAGATCTTCCTGCCTCAGCCTCCTAGAGCACTGAGATTACAGGCGTGCATCACCACGCTTGGCTGCCCATGCAGCTTTTTATAAACATAGGTCATTTGGACTAGGGAGAGAAAAACAGAAACTTTTGGTAATGAATAATTGGTAGCTGGGATTCACTATGAGTTACACACTGAGTGCAGCATGTTGGGTCTGGAACGATCATCTCTCTGCAGAAACAGCTCCGAGGGCAGTGGCACCATGCTGAGCACTGAACAATCCCCAATCAGTAGACTGACAGGGGCGGGTGACAGCAAACAGTTCAATGGCACTGGCGTTGCCCAAGTTGGCAACAAGGTCTTAAGAGTTCATCAACCACGGCAAGAAGTTCGGCTCCTGGGCGCTGGTGGCATCCCACGGTGGACAGGGTGTGAATGAACAGTGGGCCTAACCCAGCTCAGCTCGGGCTCTGCCTGCTGGGACTCTGGGCGGCCCCTGAGGAGGCTTGGGTCTGTTTACCTGGAGGCACAGACAGCAGTAGGGGTGTAAGATGTGGGGGAGCCTGGCGCAGAGGACAGAGGGGCCGTGCTGGCCTGTGTTATATTGACTCAACGTTATTAAAAACATGTTAATAACTATCAGGTTATTCTTAAATAGGAAACTATATATATATGTGGAGAGAGAGAGGAAATTTTAAGCCAGGCTCCATGGCACAGGGCTGTAATATCAGCTACTCTGGAGGCTGAGGCAGGAGGATATAGTAACATTAAGTCCAGCCTGGGCAATTCATTGAGCCCCTGTCTGAAAATTAAGAAGTAAAAAAGGGCCAAGGATATAGTTCAGTGATGAGTGTACCTACCCTGGGGGAGAAAAAAAAACAAAAATTTTAAAATGGAATGTCTTTTTTTTTTTAAGGCTTTATTCCACATAGATTTCTGAACATGGTCATTATAGTCCAGTTCTCTGGAAGATAGACCGCTTACCAAATTTCCATGTTTTTGTAGAAAGAGAAGTGATGTTACTTGGAGTCTAAGTGTGAATTTTATTAATTTCTGGGAATGTGGCCACAGGTGCTTTGTCTCTTGCTCCGTCTTATCCCGACATCAGAACCCGAGAAGATCTGGTCTTGAGAAAAATCACTTCGATAACTTAAACATGAACTGACTAGGCATAATTTTCAGAGGCTTCATTCACCCCAATTTATCATAGAATGCAATTTTAAAAGGAAAAATCAAAAGGGAGTAATTGAACTCCTTTTTTGGGGTAAATTCTAATCCTTTCTCGAATAATAGTAACATTCAGGGAGCCCCGTGTCCACCGTACAGTGGCTACAGTTACCAAAGTGTTTCGAGGTTTCCCTCTCAAGCCAGTTGGGAGCAGATTCCTTCTTCTGGTCCTGCGCTGCCGCTTCCGCTGCCTGTGCCCAGGTCCGTGGAGCAGTCCTGAGGACCCTCCGGCTCCCGTGGGCTCAGGTCATGCAGGGTGTGGGCTGGGGAGTGGACCAGGGTCCTTTAGTCCCTGGCTTCCTCCTGAGGGTCACTGCAGCTGGCCACGTGTCCCAGCCTGGGGGACAGGCTCACCCCTTGAGCCTTTTTCTCATCGCCCCTGGCGCTGTTAGCAGCCTAGGGATCCGATCCACCCACAGGGTTGCAGTGGCTGTGTGTAAATACACAGTGAAATCCTTACACTGTCCCAAGTGAGCTGGGCCCTGAGCCTCATTCTGGGTCCACTGCAGGTACGGTCCGCATTTGCTGGGCAGAGATAATAGCTAAGATTGCAGACACCCTGGAAATGAGGGGGAAACTAGCCTGGCGGAGGCATCACATCCAAACCCCAGCCCAAAGCCTCCTTCAGGACAGCTGCCCTCTACGTACCCCATCTTCAGCTGGCTTAATTAGCTTTTGGGGTTCAAAGCCCCAAGCCTCTGCATGGTCAGGCAGGGGGCACCCTGAGATTGCCTTAGTGTGGGTTTCCCAGGGTAAGAGATTGGGATCAGCAGGGGAGACTGTCTGAAAGTCACAGGATATGGGATGTAAATCTGACTACCCAGCGTGGCCCTGACGCAGCTCCTGTCACTTTGCCTGCCATCCGGCACGCGTTCTAATAAAGATGAAAGAGCCACAAACGGGCAAGTGATGTTTCCCCAAACCCGTCACCTGTGTAGTGCTGCAGAAGCGAACCAGGTTGCGGGGTGGGGTGGGGTGAGCTTTCTCTTTTGAAAATGTCTGCTTTGGCAATTGCTCCTTTCAACTGACTTTAATGTTTAAACAAAGACGATGGAGGCTTTGGCCCAAAGTCAAGCTTCACAGGGCACTGTTTATTTCTCAGACTGGCTGAATTTGGAAATGAGCAAATTTTCTCGGCAATTTTGCCAATTAAGAATCCCTTTCACTGTGATAGTGAGGCCCAGGCCTCTGGCTCCGTCTTCAGGGAAGAGGGGAGGTGCTCACAGACGATGCCAGGCTCCAGCGACTGTACAACTTGTTTTATTGTGTGCTTTTTATATGATATAAATAATGACAAAAATTACAAAATTTATAACTGGAAGCCCAAGCTTATTTACACATATGCTTCTGTCGCAGCAAAGCTACTGTTTACTTTGCCCCTATACAATCTCCTTTTGGTACCATATCTTAGCGTTATTTCACTCTCCATTTACTACATACATATCAACAGGGAATAAGCAAAATATATACAGGGAACTGTTCAGTTCAAGTAATTTAATATTGTATTAAAATTCTTCAACACAACTAAAACCATATACATTTGTCGGTTTGAAATAAAATGTAATTATTCTTTAAAACTCACCAACTGATGAATATAACTGATAACCTCAAGGTAGATTTAAAATAATATTGGTTAATAAAAAAACATTAAGACAAGTCCACCATTTATCAATATCGCTATAATGAACTTCAAAATGATTCACAATATGATCGGTTAGAACAATATACGTTAAAATGTTATTTTTTTCTATAGTGATATTGGTACTGTTTATATAATTTGATTCTACATAAATATACATTATGGTATCATACAAATACTCCACAGAGACGTTAAAAAAATTAAAATACCTTAAAGAAATGTAAGTAAATTTTATTTAATCAAATAGTAAGCAAACTTTTTTTTATCTGTTTCAAGAAAAGTTTTATTACTTTGGAATTTCTTTTTTTTTTTGTATTTATTTTTTATAGAAAAAATTTTTGCAATAGAGTTTTATTATTAACACCATTCTCAAGCAAGGTTTCCATGACAGAAATCTTGACAGCAGGAGCCCTAGATTATTTTTTGTTCTGACATGTTCTTTAAAACACTAATGGTTAAAAAAAAGAAAAACCAAAACAAAATCTTTGCAGGTGCAGGGCTACCTTCGCGGGTTGTCAAACCCTGCACATCTCCCGCCGGGTAGACACATTCAGGATCTTGCCACAACTTTGCCCGGTCCTCCTGGTAGTAGCAGTAGAAATTTAGCTATTTCAAAGACCAGAAACATCCCGCACAACTAGCTTAGTTTTCTTATCAATGCATTAACGAAACACCCTTTTAATAAAAATATTTAATACAAGACACAATTTTTTTCTGTGCATAATAAATTCTTGTTTTAAATCATTTTTAAAATTTTGAATCCATCGTGAGAGTTAAAGATTTTCTTCATCCGACATAGTTGATTATATATAAAATCCACAAATATAGAAATTGGGAAACAGGATTTCCTGTCCTCTTGCCTAAAGATACTGAATGACATAATGATTTTACAGATGCTTTCTGCGGGGTGGGAGTTAGTTCTGTTCTGATTTTACCTTTGACGCTGCTGACAGTGAAAACTAAACCCAAAGATTTTTATACTTTTAGGCAGTATTAGCGATCCCCTTGACTTTTCTGTTTTGTTTTTTAAAAAAGGTTATCACCCCCGACTAAAGCAAGGCCCGCGGGCGCCGAGTCACCGGAGAGACCTCGGGAGGCAGGCGCGGGGACGGCGCGTGGGGACCCCGGGGCGCGCCGTCCGCGGCTGCAGAGCTGCAAAGTCTTGGTCGCGGGTTCCGTCGCCGGCGCAAGGAGCCTCCCGGAGCGGCGCGGCCGCGGGCCGGGCCAGGCCCCCGGGGGCGGAGCGGAGCGGCCTCCTTCCCGGCGCTAGGAAACCTGGCCCGGCTGCCTGGCGAGCAAGGCACCGGAGGGCGCGCGGGCGGCGACGATCAGAAAATCGTGGTTTCATACTTGGTATTAATGCCCCTCTTGGCTTCCTGCCCCGGCTCCACAATCCACGGCAGGTTGGCCAGAGTCTTTTGCTCAGACGGGTCGATCTGCTTTAAAACAGAAAGGCTGATGCCCGTTATCCGGCAGTGCGCGGGGGCGCGGCGCGCCACTCACCCGGGGACCGGCGTCCACCCCGGCGCGCCTGCTGCACGGCCACCCGGCCTGGCCCGAGGGCGGGCGGACAGACGGACCCGCCCGTCCCGCAGCCCGGGGCACGGCAGGGGGCACTGCGGGAGCGGGCGGCAGGCCGGGTCTCCTCCGCCGCCCGGCTCGGGCCCCCGGAGCCCCAACGCCGAGCTGCGCTCAGGGCCGGTGCCCAAGCGACCTCCTCTCCGGGAAGCTGCGCCTGTTTCCCCTCCCAGGAGAGCACCCCGACTTTTCAGCTCGGCTCTTCCGCTTTGTTTCTCCTGGCCAGGGGCACCACCCCCACCACGAGGTGCGCCCCCAAAGGCGGGCTTCCGTCTGTTCCCCGCCACCCTGCGCCCCGGGACGCCCCTGGTGATGCCAACACGGCAAGCGCACAGCCAGGGCGAGGACGAAGGAGGCAGGGCGGGGAGCCCCACGAGGCGGAGGCGGAGAGGAGGCGGCTGCGTGGCAGGGCGGGGTCCGGGGTGCGGCACGGCGGGGACAGAGGGGACACAGCAGCGGTGGAGAGGTGAGGAGAGGTCAGCTGAGCCTTAGCTCCAACCCAGCCTCGCCCTAAAAGCTGCCAGTCCCTTGCTTAGGACGGACAGCTGTTCCTGGGAGGGGCCGAGCTGGGGGAGACTGTCCCCCGCAGCGGCCTTGCAGCTTGTCCCTGCCGGCCACCTGCGCTGCTGGGGCAGGGACCTTCGGAAGCCTCTCCCAGCCCGGGCCTGGCGGCTCAGACTCGAGGGATCAACATGACCAACAGCAACCGAGGGGCCGTGCAGGGCGTGGAATGGGTCGACCCGAGGCGGGCGCGTGAGATCTTCACTCTCCTGCTTCCCTCCCAGCAGGGAGGGTGGGTGCACACCCCGGGGCGCGGGCCCTTCGGCAGGAGGGCTGGGGGACCACACTGGAGTCACAGGGACGCACCTGTGTGAACGGCTCGTCCAGGCCGCACGGGAGGGCATGCAGTGGTCTAAGAAACACCCCGCAAACATGCCACGCGCCTGGGTCCCCCACAGCTCAACCATCCCCAAAGACACCTCCGGCGGCTCATCTCAGGCTCCCACTTCTTCACCCACGGTGCCGGCTGAGCGTCACCGTGGGGCTGGCCCTGGGGTGACGGCGCAGTCCCCTGGCACACGCAGCTTGTATTTTTTGTGGAGGGAAATAGAGAACAAGCAAGCGCTAAGTTTAAAGGCCCTCAATGAACACAAACGCGGTACCGAATCAACAGACGGCAGCGTGGCTGGGCGTGACCAGGGACCGCGGCAGCCTGGTGGTCAGGACCCCAGGTCGCTCTTCAGTGACACAGGGACCTGAATGACAGGAACCAGGGGAGGAATTCCAGGTGGAGGGGGCCTCGGGACGGAGTGGACACTGCTCAAGGCAGGGAAGGCCCGGTGTGAAGGAGCGGGGAGAAGCTCCGTTTTCGGGGCCCCAGGTTAGGACTGATCTCCACCCCATGCAGAGGGGTCCCCTGGAGGTGTGCGGTGGGCTTCACCCGGGGCGGTGGCAGCCCCAGCTAGGGGAGTGGCAAGGCCACGGAGAGGAGCGGGCAGGTCCCGGACGGGTCCTGGGTGGAGTGAGCGGCCTTTGCTCAGAGGTGGGAGAGGAGCACCGGGAAGGCGCGGGTTTGGCTTTAGCCGCACGGTGCACAGCCGTGTCATGTACTGAGCCGGGAGGACGGAGACGGGAGCCGCTGTGGGGAAAACTGAGAATTCCGATGCGGACATCCAGCTTCAGGCGTGTGAGCTGGGGTTCTGGGGCGGCAGGGCTGCAGGGAGAGCCCCAGGGCCGCTGGCGCGGGGCGGAGGAGTGTGGGGGCCGAGGCGAGGGTTTCAGAGGCGCAGATGCTGATCCTGACCGGTCAGGAGGGGCCAGCCGGGGGAGGAAATCTCAGGGAGCACAGGGGCCAGGGCCGGGGGGTGTCCCTATGCTGTGGAAGTTGCCAGGATGGGGCAGAGTGGGGCTGGAGGCAGCTGTTAACAGGAAGCTACATGGTCACCGAGGGAAGTCTCTGCAGTGACAAATGTCTCTCCTTCCTTCCTCAGGGGATGAGACGGAGCCGCCCTGGGGCCGAGAGAGCTACAGATGGAGGGGTTCGGGGGCGACAGACGATGCATTCTGGGGCCTGTTGGTCCCTGTCCTCGGGTTTCTAGGACAAGGGTGCAGCCGGCGCAGAGGCAGATGGGAGGCTCGCTGGGAACCTTCCAGCCCTGAGGTGTTGCTACTACCAGAGGGGGCCGCTTGGGAGGCTATGAGCCTGGTGGGACAGGCTGTCTGCAAGGCTGTGGGGGCAGGGAGGGGAGCGTCCTGGAGGAAGGCAGATGCTGAGGAGGAGGGGAGGAAGAGCTGTGCCTTCTGACAGTCACCACACAGCGGTAGGAAGCCCCAGCTGCCGGAGAGACGGCGCCTGGGCTGCAGATACCCAGGTCTGGGCATCTGGCACCCGCCACCGGGTACCAGGGGCATCGTCACCCTTAGCCTCGCAAATCTGGAGGCCAGGAGTTTGCAAGAGGCCTCATCCCCTGGTGGGATGGCAGCGGAGGCCTCAGGGAGCACAGCCCCAAGCTTTCCTGGGCTTCAGGTGAGATTCTCCAGAGGGACCAGTGCCCCTCCTGCCCTCGAGGCGGCTGCGGGTGACACAGCAAGTGGAATTTTCTCTGGAACCTCTGGGTTCGAGCAGAGGGTCCTTCGAGACTGCAGGGACCAGGCTGAGACGATGCCGGTCACACGCCAGATAGAGGCCAAGGGGAGGGATGTGGACGGGAGGCCCTGGATCCTAAACGGCACCCACACCCGCCGAGCAGGGCCCCCTACTGGAGGTGTCGGACACCTCCGTCTCTTCTACTTACCACTGATTTGCGGATGCTGACGCGGGGCTTGGGGATGGGCTTGGAGGGCTTGTTTTCGAAGCTTTCCGGGAGTGTGGAGGAATGCCCCCCCTTTCTGGCTTGCAGGGCTAGCTGGTAAGCGACTTCAAATGCCTGTCCCAGGGTTAAGATGATTTCATAGGCTAAATTCTGCAAGAAAAATGAGAATGTATTTACTATGGGCACGATGCCAATCAGAATGGGTGGCACGGCTGAAGGACACCGTGGGAGGCTAAGTAGCAGGGAGCTTAAACTACTCCACCTGGTGATTCAGGGGAGTCTGCCAAGAACCCGACACCGCAGGTCGCACTTAGCGTCTACACAGGCATTAGTCACCCGTGCAGCACATTTGTTTACAGCTACACAACACAGTCGCTCCTCCATTAACCTGGACACGCAAGGCCTACACATAGCTCACGGGCCCCATGAGTCCCCGTGAGCTCTGAGCACTTGGAGGGGAAGGTGTGACTGCTGGGGTCTTGGCTAGCCACACCTGTGAGGACAAGGACGACCCCACACACAACCCGGGAGGTATTCCTGACAATTGGGTCTTTTTACCTCAGATATCTGTGATTCAGTGAACATCGAGGAAACACAATCAAAATCCAATTCCGGCTAAGGGAAAAGGCATTTCTCATGCGGGTGTGGACTCCTGCAGCAGCAGCAGCGAGCTGCAAGCAGGGCTCAGGCAGAGCCAGCGGTCCATCCACTTCTTGAGGCTCAGCTCTCCGTGGGGGCCCACTCCGTATTTTAGCACCCAGTCAGCCAGAGGAGGGGTGCTGCGCCACCAGCATGCAGCACCAAGCCACCGCTGGGAGGAAAGGCCTCCCCTCGGACCTTCCCTCAGCCCTTCTTCCTCAGGTGGTTTCCGGCTTTCTTCTCTTCAGCTCTCTAGGGTCTCCGCTTTTTCTTCCAGGTGCAGCTCTCCCCTGCCTTCTCTCACGGGGCCGATATGGCACTGCCTCCAGAGGCAAGGTCTCCACAGCGACTGGGCTCACAGTCATCGAAGAAGTGGCTGTATACTGTTCACAGAAAATGCTCCAAGGTCACTGCACCAGCTGAGATCAGGTGTCATTTGTCTGAAGTCTCACTCCATGAATGTCCCCACCTCGTCTCGCAAAATCACAGAAGGGGCTGAGGTTCTGCCTCTGCTGAGATTGCAGCTCTGCGTTCCCCATCCCGCCGCTCCTCCACCCTCCCTGTGCACAAGGGGAGCCCACTTCCTGTGTTTCTGGAGAAGCAGTTGGGTGAGGAGGGGTGGGGAGGTACTGCAAGAGGCCCAAAGGTTCTGGACCCCCCAGATTTCAGGTCAGGGCCAGGTCCATCATCATGTTTTGAACCAGGTGAGAAAGTCGCTCAGCGCCTGAGACGTGGTTGACAGAGGGTATACACGTCTCCTCTGAGCTGCCAGTGAGGAAGCGCTGGCCCCTGAGACAAGACGTCGGTGTGGGAGATTCTGCACCTCGCACAGCAGCCTGTCACTTCCCTGCAGTGAAGGCCGATCCCTGTTTGCCTCCAGGGATGAGTCAGGCTAGTAAATTAGTAACACACCAACAAGGGATGATGGGGGAGGACTGGGAGAGCCTCGGCCCTCACTGCACAAAGCAGGCCGAGCCCTTCCCACTGCCTACAACTGCGCTCACATCATCGTCAGCTTTGCCTCTTGGGTCCCTCGGGAAAGTGGTTGGAGCTTCTGGCTCCCCTGGCATCAGGGGACGAAGCCGCAGCTCTTGGCCTGCTCCCTGCTGTGGAAGACGGTTGGTGTCATCTGTCCGGCACTGCAGACACTTGCACTCTGGCTGGGACGCTGGACCCAGGGAGACGAGTGACGCTCCGTGACTGAGACTCGCAGTCTGCATGTGCCGACCCGGGCAGCTTCAAGGGTGTGAGTCCCTTATCCCTAGCCTAAAACAGGTTCCTGAAAGTGAGATCTGCTTTCAGCTCCCCTGTCTTCAACTGAACTCAAAGCTGCTCATTTGAGCAATGACATTTTTCTCATGACAATTACGGGACGCTGAAAGGTTTGCAAGATAACAGGTTAGGAGTTCTGCCGTTTCCTTTTAAATTAGTTCCTGATATTAGGAAAACCACTGAAATGAGATGCAGAGACTGGACTGGAAGGTTTTCTGCCAAATGACTGCTCCTGGTTTGGCTTCTATCTTGACATCTTGTTTTATTTTGGAATGTGTCTTGGTTACTTTTTTCTTGCTGCTGGGACAAAATACCTGACACCCAAAATTAAGGAAGGAAAGGTTTATTTCGCTTACAGTTCGTGGAAGTTTCAGTCCGTACTTGGCAGATTATAAGGCAGAGTGGCACATGGCAGAGAGCTACAGCTCATGGTGGCAGAACACAGCTCAGCTGCAAGCACACACCAGGGTGGAATGGGGAGGAATGTCCCCAAGCACTCTTTTCCTTTCCCTTACATATGCAAACAATCCACCCCAGGGCGGGTGTAGCTCTCACACCCACAATCATTCAACTCTGATAGCCTGCCCCCATGGTCGCATGAGGCTTTGGAGGGGACACACAGACATAAACCATAACAGAATGCTTTGCAGTATACAGTAAAGAGCTGTTACCCTCCCTGTCTTTCTGCAGCCATGATGTTTGCATTATAGATGCCAGAAGAGAAGAGGCCCAGGCACCAACACACCTGCCTGAGCGTGATGCTCCCTGTCCCCAAGCACCAGAGCTCTTTTGGGGAACAGGTGATCATGCAGTGGGACCTAAGGACACACACAAACTTGCGAGGAAACCCTACTTTCCAGGTCACTTCCCCAGCCTCTCGTGAGGATCCCCAGCACGATCGGAGAAGACCTGTCATCCTGAGGGCAGGCCACCATGGGACAAAGCTGAAAATGATACTGTGCCAGGGTGTAATTATGCAGTAAGGGCATGACACTAATCAGTAGTAATATAATTACAATCCCACTGTCACACGGACTGTCAGGAGTCATGCAGCCCCTGCCTGGGCCTCTCGGAGCATCGGCTGTGGGGAAACCAGTCCTGTGCAGAGTCTGGCATGCAGGGTGCGTGTGAGGAGGCTGAGCTGGGCACAGGGACCGGTGGTCTGGGGAGGAACAGAGGTCCAGCCACCACAGCGCAGGCCCCGATGCCAGAGAGAAGGCGCCGCCCGTCAGCAGGCACATGGAGGAGACCTGGGCGTGGTGTCTGCAGCCAGCTGAGCTGCTCAAGGCGAGGGAGCCCCACACGCTGCTGAGCGCGGAAGAGCAGAGTTGCGTGCCCAGCACGAGTCCTGCTGGGGCAGAGTCAGCAGCAAGATGAGTGGGTACTGTCTTCTAGTGCTGCATTTGGTGTGTTTGCTGCACAGCCTGTTACCGGATGCCAGGTGATGATGACCATGCTGTGGAAGCTCAGCTGAACCTCATCCGGGCATCGGAAGGGGAGAAGCCAGACTTAGGGCTGCCAGGAGCAGTGTCCTCTGGCCATGGGACACTGAGGTGTGTGACCGCAGTAGGTGTGAAGGTGTCCCTTCAGACGCACTGGTCCACGCCATGGAGCTTCAGTGGCCTTTTAAATTGGCCCAATCATCTCGTTACCTCCGCCTGTGGGTGTAAATCCAACTACCACCTCACTCCCCCAGGGCTTACCCTTTGGGCCTGCCTCTGACCTCACACAGCTTAGTGGAAGATCGTCACTCACCCTCACCTTCCCAGCACAAGTTTTTTTTAAACACATAGATTATGGTAGATGTTTCCCCAACCCCAGGACTGGGGATTGAACCCAGGGCCTTTGCACTGAGCTATATCCCCAACCCTTCTTATTTTTATTTTGAGACAGAGTCTTGTTAAATTGCTAAGTTGCCCAGGTTGGGCTTGAACTTACGATTCTCCTGCCTCAGCCTCCCAGAGTATGGGGGTTACAGGTGTGTGCCACCACGCCTGGCTGCAAGGAGCCTTGACTGAGTACTTTTAACCTTATATAGACGACGGATGGAAAGAGGTTGCATGTGCGTGTGTGTGTTTGGTTTGGGTGTTGAGAATGATTACTGGAAAGAACATACTCTGAGCTGCTGTTTTCTTATCTCAAAATAGGGGATCATTCCATATGCAGTGGTCACCTTACTGGACTGAAATCCGCTACTTACAATGTGTAACTCAACGACAATACCAGCTAATGTTTACTGTTTACTATGTGCCATGTACCGCGGACAGCTGGTGTTCCTCGTGGACTCTATTCAGTCCTAACACTATCCCTGTGCTACAGGTTAGCAATCAAGCCCAGGAAGGTTAGATAACTTGCTCCCGAAGCCAGCAGCTGGCTGAACTGGGATTCTAGACCAGGCTGTGTTCCTGACCATTTAGAGCTCTGCTTGAGGAAAAGGAAAGACTTGCGTAATCTTAGAAGTCTGAAAATGAAGTAAGGAAGCGCTAGGATGCACCCCTCATCTTGGCTTGGGTGAGGGCACCTAGTGGCCCTGCAGTTTGCCTGAGTCCGGCAGGACCATCAGCACAGGGGTCCTCGCACCCCGTGATCCAGGATAAGGTGGGATGGGAGGCAACACGCCCTGCTCCAGCAGCAGCTTACTTCGGACAATGGCATGTGGCGCTAATCGAATGAGGAGCAGCGGGGACACTTCAAAATCTCTTTCTTTTTCTCTTCCCTATGGATTAAGAGATGCTGGGAGAGGAATTTAAGGAGACACCCCATCTACATCGGGGGCATTTGCTGAGCTCCTTCGTGTGCTGAGGGCTGTGTCCCAGGTGCCTGGCCTGAGCCCCACCTACAGCATGCAGGCAGCGCTTACCGAAGATGTGTCTCCCCGCAGTTCCACAGGAGGCACAGGGAGACAGAGTTGCCCCCTCCATCCTCATCCGGGTCATTAAGGCTTGACATTTATCATACTGCTATTAGAAAAATGACAGCACAGATTGCAGGCAATCTGTCCCCTAGGAAAAGCTCTGGCCCCCCAAGCAATTAATTTAATTTATATTCACTTGTGCATCACTAGGATTCCTCTTCTTAGTTTGAAAGCCTTTTAGGCTTAGTTCAATGGAATATACTCACTGCAGTGTGTAAAAACTTCATGAGCAGGAATCTAATTAAGTATACTACACAGTAGGTAGCCATTTGACATGAAAATTGAGTCATTAAAAACACTGATTATGCCACGTGTGGTGCAGCAC